GCAATTTAGCGTTTTTTTTTTTTGGGGGGGAATGAAAGAAAATTAACATTTTAATGCAAAAACCAAATACAATTCAAAAAATATAGAAAAACTAACAAAAAAATATTTCATTTGAATTTTTTTCATATGTTGATGATATTTCATAAGTTGAGTTGAGCTTATAAGGAAAAAATAAATAAAAAACAAAATATTTTAGGATAGTAATGCAAAATATGCCGAAGCCCGGCTATTAAAAAAGCTATAAAGGTTGAATATTTGTGGAGAATATCTCAATTTCAAGATTATTATCATTAATATCTTCGGAACTACAAGAGATATTGGAACATTTGGCACCAATGTAGACAACATGTTTTTGAAAGATTTTTTTAATAAAAATGGTAAATAAATTTTGATAGAATCGATTAATTAAAATAATGAAGAAAAGGCAAAACAAAGCTGAAAAATCTGACTAAATTGGCATCACTGCTACTATTATTTAAATGAAGATATAATGTTTTAATCCAATTTTGAATTAAAGTTAAAAAAAAAGAATTAAAAATTATTGAAAGAATTGAATTAGTATTACTAAAAACTTTTATTTTTTTTTAACAATTATAAAAAAAAAATAAAAAGTTAATATAAAATCATTTTGTAAAGGAATAAAGTCTATAAACCCCAAGAGTCACATTATAACCATAACAATTAAAAAAGTTTATCAAATCAGATTTGATGGTTATGAAATACTCAAAATTTACTTTAAAAATCGCTTAATTAGGATAACAGTTTGTTTTTTAATTAAAAATTTTCAACAAAAAAAAATTAAAGAAAAACAAAATGAGCATCTCTTTTATAAAAAAAATATCATGTTAAATTTGACGGTAAGAAATACGGAAAATATATTTTAAAAATCTTTTAATTAGCATCACTGTTTGTTTTTTAGTTAAACATTCTATCATTTTTTAACACAATTTAAAATTCCATAAAATATTATGATTGAAACATAAATAAATTATTATGGTTGAAACATCAGCTGTTGCCAAAGACCAGCTGTTGCAACTTTTTGAAATTTCCAAATTCAATTGAAAATAAATAACAAACTTACTTAACACCAAAAAAATCACTAAATTAGCATAACTACTTTTTTAAATTCAATTATCAAAAACAAAATATCGCAAAATAAGCATCACTGTAACTGGCGACCTGTTTCTTTTGTTTTTTTTTTTTTTTTTGATCATCTGTTGTCAGTTTTTGAAATCGAAATTTCAAAATTCAATTGAAAATAAATAAAAAAAATATTTAACACCAAAAAAATCACTAAATTAGCATCACTCATTTTTTAATTCAATTAAAAATTATATTAAAAAGTTTAAAATCAATGTTGAAAAAAATCGCAAAATGAGCATTACTGTTACTGGCAACCTGTTTCTTAGGATTTTTGAAAGATCAGCTGTTTCCACTATATTAGTGGTTTGAGGCCGCCGGATGTTGTGAATGAACGACAACATGAATAATCATGTTTTTTAGGTGATATTACAATTTATCAGAAGAAAAGCTAACCAGTTTCTTTTTTGGAAAAAAAGGGAGCTTAACATTCCCTTGCACACAACAACAAACCTGGGTTGTAGAACAAAAAGCCCAAATCAAGCATTTGTGGCAGGTAGCCAAAACGAGAAAACACGAAAGAAAAAGGTCCCACTAATGAAAACAAATAGAATATAAAAGCCATAAAACCTCATTATGATTAACGTGGGAATAAGCGCAGCGGAGTTTTTTTGGGATGACAACAACATTTAATTCACCCAAAGATGTTAATAATTACAGCTATTAAATTGAGAATACATGCTTTTCATTAGGCAATAATAATTACTCGAATACACAAACTTTAAATCAAAATTCAAACATGGTATAAGGTTACCCGACACAATTTCCTCATTATTATCAATCATTATATGGGGAATTTAACACTTTTTGATTAACAAACCAAAAATCGACAAAAAAAAACAAAATTTCCAAAAAGAGCTCACTTCTTGGGAATGAAAGAAGAGCCATTGTTAGCGGGGGCCAACCAAAAAATAAAGTTGAGACCACGTGCATTTATTGGGGTTTTAAATGGAAGCTCGTGTCTTTAACCTCCAACCGTTTGGTGTGGTGGTGGGGAAAATAAGCAAAGATATCAGCCACGAGTTATAACTGCAGCAGTCCCCCCAAAACTTGCTATCTAGCACAGGCACTTATCACCCCAAACAAACGACCCATGCCAAGCTTTAGAATACAACAAAACAAAACTAAAAATAAACAACAGAATTTTTTAAATAAACAATTTATTTATTTTTTAAATTTCCACAAATAAAATCATACAAACATACTCACACAAACACACACAAGGCGGCACATGTTCATGTTTTCAAGGCAGGCAGCTTCTTCCAGGGGGAATTTTTAATGCCAATGCATTTTTTTGAAGAATATCCCACAACATAACTGTATGGAATTTCTAGAGAAGCAGCAGTTTCCACAACAACATAGTCTTCTGTCTAATTAGCTAGCTAGACAGACATTCAGTTAGTCAAATGCCTTTTTTGTGTGTTTTTTATGTTTAGCCAGAAAACCAGACCCATGCCAAGTTGGAGAGAAGTAAACAATTTATGGCTTCTTTTTTTTTGGTGTTGATTTTTTTTTCATTTTTTTGTTTTTGGCCACTTGGGATTTGTTAATAAACAACTCATTAAAGACATATTTTTTTTTATTATTTTTAATTTCCTGATAATTTAAAGTAGTGAGTGTTTCAAGAGGTTTTTTTTAATTTTATCCAAAAAACGCCCCTTTTGAAATATTTTTTTTGGCTGGCAAGTTTGATTTTAATGTGGGATGATACTTCAATGGATTGAAAATTATCAATCAATTTGGTTTCAAATTAAGTTGTCAATTTGTAGAGGAAGTAAAGCATTGAGAGCATTGACTTGGCATCTAGAGTAATTTTAATTTTCTACAAATTTTAAATTTTCGCAATTTAAAACCAGTAAGGAAAAGTCAAAAGTCAAAAGTCGGGCGGAGCCGGGTGCATATTATGCATGTGAGGGACTTTAACATCAAATTGGATAAAACATAAATGTGGGAGCTATATCATCATCAAATTTGACGTACTCGATTCTAGACTGAATTCGGTTGGATGTGCCAAAATTCAGGTCATTTGGACTGATATTGGCCATTTGGTTCAAAATTAATCCGAAATGGGTTGAAGATATATATGAGAGCTCTATCTAAATTTGAACCGATTCTCACCAATTCCAATTGAAATAAAGGACTAAGAACACAAAGTGCTTAATCAAAGATATGAAAAAAGGGATAAGAGTGGGGACTCAAATAGCAATACTAGAAACAACCTAGAATTAGTTTAGAAAATTAATTCGTTACCCACTTTAAAAAATGGGGAAAATTTCTTCAAACTATTCAGGCCGATTTATTGGCTCTATAACATGTGATTTACTTCTCATCTCTAAGTAGTGCGTTAAAAAAATTAGAGACTTCCTCAACAGATCTGATAGTTTTGGACTGGACTTCTTGAAGAATTACATTTTCTTTTAAAGGTCTATTATAACAATTTTGTCATATGAAAATATTTTAATATATTAACATCGGACTCCCTTTTGCCTTTTTTGTAATTTGAAACCGGAACAAATAAAAACCATGCTTTTATATAAACGACATAAAAACGGCTTAAAATGTTAATTAAATGTGACCTCCAAGGCCTATACATTATAGCGTACATACACTACACTAAGCTGACAATAATTTAAAATGTTAATTTACATTAATTGTTTGGCAAAAAATACATAAATAAAAGGGAATTCAAGTTAAAATGGTTACTGAGTTAAATTAAAATTGGGCCTTTTTCTTTATGAATAATTTCAAGTGATTGCTACCCTTTCATATACATATGTATATTTCCTAGAAGAAGATATGGCCAGCAAATTGCATTGGGGGGGACCTACACATACATATGTATGTATGAATATACATTGCCTGCAATCGAAAATCATAAAATGCTTGACTTTAATCAAACCGGATGTTGACAAGCCGGCCATTCATTAATGTTTTCAAAGTTCTTTGGCTTTCTGTGCATTAAAGAAAAGGGGGTCTCTTCTTCTTGAAAAGATAAATAAAAATAATTGTTCGACTTTAAATTTTGAAATGATAGAAAAAGAGAATGGGTGTTGGATGGAGTTTGGATATGGCATTTTTTGGTTTAATAAAACTTTGTTTTTAATAAACATTTCTCCTACATTTTTCTCTAACTCCCCATTTCTCTCTCTCCGCTGTTCCCTAAGCATTGAAAATTTAATTATTGATTCTATTTCCGTTTTGTTGTTGTTGTTGGTTATTTTGTTGTTAGTATTTTGTCATGCTTCATGTATGTTTTGTACCGTTAATTTTCCTCCGGCGCCCATCATTCAGTCATTCATTCAAACAAACACACATATTCGAATCGAAGAAAAACCTGAAAAAGAGTAGAGAACGACAAACAATTTTTATATGAATGAAAACAAAATTTATATTTAGTAAATACTTACAGATCTTGGAGTTTAGAACGGTAGGCGGATAGTTTTGTTTTTCTTGTGGTCTGTTCTGTGTAGGTAATTTGTTGTAAACACCAAACACACGCTTTAAAATTGTTTTGTTTTCTCAGATTCAACAGGCAAATTGCCTGAAAATGTTGTTGTTTGTAAAAAGGGGTAACCTGATTTTGTTATTTTATTTTCCATAAAAGGGGTAAAGATATCTGCATCCCTTTCTCTATTGAATCTTTATAAAATTCCATGGTTTCAAGTGGACTTCCATCATTTAGCCATTAAATTTTCTCAAGACAACATCATCTCCATCACCATAAATCTAAAATGAATTCATTTTTCAGTTTAATAACAAAAAACTGTCGTAAATTTAAGGTTTCGCCACAAAACAAATTCTCACCATAAATTTTTGAAATAAATTCTAATTGTTTTTTTCTTCTCTTTTTTTGCTTACAGATTTACCCCGGTCCTGATCCAAAACAAGCCATAATGGGTTCTTTGGTCTTTTGCATACATCACAAACAGGGCTGCACTTGGTCGGATGAATTACGCAAGCTAAAAGTAAGTTAAAAACAGAAATAAATTAATTAAAACATTTTGTTACTCTTTAAGCTTAATAAATTACCCCGAAAGGTCATACTACCTGTTCTGGCTTCCTCCGGATTTAATAACTGTTACTAATGTTGTTAGGCACTGTTTTTTGTGTTTGTTTAAAAACCTTTTTTATGTTTTCTTCTTCGTTTTGTGGTGGCATTTTTATGGCCATAAACCGAGACAACACAACACAACTTCCTTAGAAGCAATTTTCCAAGAATCAAATAAAACGTTCGTTTAGAAACTTTTGAAAGTCTTATGAATACTTATTGCCACGTTTTAAGTTTTTTGTCTATTATTTATTACAACATCAACTAATTTCCTTCTTCTTTTTCCACTTCCAGGCCCATTTAAATGTCTGCAAACACGATGCCACCCAATGCCCCAACAAATGTGGCGCCCAAATCCCACGCATTATGATGACCGATCATTTACAGTACACCTGTACCATGCGCCGTACCAAATGTGAATTTTGCCAAAGTGAATTTTCTGGTGCCGGTTTGGAGGAGCATGCCGGTACCTGTGGCCAGGAACCCATCTATTGTGAGGCCAAGTGTGGCCAACGTGTGTTACGCGGACGCATGACTCTGCACAAATCCAAAGATTGCACCAAACGTTTGAGACGTTGTTTGCACTGTAATCGGGAATTTTCGGCCGACACCTTGGCTTTGCATGTCAATCAATGTCCCCGGGCTCCCACAGTTTGTCCACAACGTTGTGATGTTGGACCGATTGCAAGGGCAGATTTGGAGGCCCATTTACGCGATGAGTGTAAGGCATTGGCCATTGCATGCTCCTTCAAGGAGGCCGGTTGTCGTTTCAAGGGACCACGTCATCTATTGGAGGCCCATTTGGAGGCAAATGCCGCAGCCCATCTTTCGTTGATGGTGGCGCTCTCTGCCCGCCAAGGACAACAGATACAAATGCTCAAATCAGCTGTCTCCAAACTGTCCATTAACTTTACCGGTACTCTCTTGTGGAAAATCACTGATTGGTCTGCCAAAATGGCCGAGGCCAAGGGCAAAGATGGTCTGGAGTTGGTCTCACCGCCATTCTACACCTCCCAGTATGGTTACAAGTTACAAGCCTCAATGTTCTTAAATGGCAATGGACCCGGTGAAAACACCCATGTCTCGGTCTACATTAAAGTTTTGCCCGGTGAATATGATGCTCTACTCAAATGGCCCTTCTCCCACTCCATTACCTTTACACTGTTCGAGCAGGGTGCCCAATCGGGCCAGGGTGGTGTGGCCGAGTCCTTTGTACCCGATCCAACATGGGAAAACTTCCAACGTCCCTCAAATGAACCCGATCAATTGGGTTTCGGTTTTCCAAGATTCATCTCACACGATCTGCTCTACAAGCGGCCCTTCATCAAAGATGATACGGTGTTTTTAAGAGTCAAGGTGGATCCAAGTAAAATTGTGGCCGTTTAATTAAGTTTTTTAAATATTAAGATTATTTCTTCTTTATATAAATACTGTGTATTTAATTTTAGTTTATAAGGCAAACTTTCAATGTAAATATTAGTTTTTAAGTCCAACAAAATTATGCAGAGCCATTCTTGTTAAGCAAAACACCAAAAATTTGAACAAAAAACAAACGGAAGATTAAAGCTTCGCCAAAGTAATCCTGGGGGATTACTTCAATTGGGCGATAGCACGACAAATATCATTCTTAAAAAAACAAAACACACACACATTTTAGTCAACTCGAATAGTTATTGTAATTGTAAGGCAACAACAAAAAAGCGCAAAAAACCAACCAACAACAACTCTAAATTTTTAAGTTTTTTTCTACTCATAAAAAAACCGACAAAGAATTGCAAAGTTGATATCCAAAACAAGTAAATGAAGAGTTTTAAATAACAAACCAATTAAAATGTGCTGGAATTAAACCAAAGGATTAACACCACAAATTACATTGTTATCGATAAACGAGCCGATAACACAAAGCAAACAAAAACAATCATCATCAAAGTTTGTGTCTTAAGTCTTTCGATGTTTTTCTCTTCGAAGAGAAAAATTTCTTTCAAAAGATGTCACAAAAGATATTGATAGGTCACAAACACACGTACACATATACCTGTGGTATACACATTAAATGACAACTCTGGTAGTTTGTATTTGCTGTTTAATTTTTATTTAGGTTAAATAAAAAATTAAATATAATAGCATTTAACATCATTTATCACCAAACGAAAGACAGGCAGACATGGTTAGGATGGATAAGAAAAGCCAACTCAATTTTGGAATGGTCAAATAAAATCTGTGACCTTTATAAACAATAACTCGTCGTCATAACCATGTTCGACTGTTGAATTTTTCTTAATAAATTATCATTATTATTTTTTTTTAATTTTATTATTATTTTTTGGTCATCATCGAATGTTATTTTTGTTTTTATTTTTCTTTCTTTCTACAAAAAAAAAAAATAAGGAAAACAGTCATAGCTATGTAAACGCACATGTATTTTTATTATTATTATATTACTTACAAAACAATATTTTTTTAAAACATAACAAAAAAAAACTATATTATGATGTATGTATCTTCTCTTCGAAATCGTATGAATTCACAAACGAATCGCAAAAAAATGATACTAATCTTAAGTAAAAAAAAAAAACAAATACCAAGAACAACAAACAAACTTGTTAACATTACAACATGTAACGTCTTTGACGCCTATGATGAAATATGAATGAATGAAGACTTTTTGTAAAAAAAAACCACCGCGAGTTTTATTTAAAATCGAAAATGGAAATGGAATGGGATAATCTATCATTGAGTAGTGAGCTCTGAGGGGAGTAATTGAAATAACTAACTGAACACAACGCCCAGACGAAACGTCTTAAGCTAGAATCTTGAAATTTTGCACGAGGGTCAGCGTTGGTGTGATGGGCCACAAGCTTAGTGAGGTCTAAGTGAGGAGCTCTTCAAGATAGTCTTACCAGAGACGTCCTTTTAGTCCATATATAAAAGTGTAGTGAAATAACTGTCAAACTCAACGCCCAGATGAAACTACTGAAGCTAGAATCATGAAGTTTTGCACGGGGGTCATTGTGCATAGAATTGTGACCAAACCAAATGTATTGAACAAACGGAATGAGCAGGAATTCTGAAATTTGGAATGAGAAACACTGATGAAGTGCAGGATAAATGTACAAAAGTTTTTTTGGAAACTATAACCTTAAGGTTACGAAAAGTTCTAAATAGTTCTACATATCCAAATTGGTACCATTTGGTATTATGTGAACGGATAGAACAAAAAAACCAAGGTAGGAAAGAAAGTTTTATTGAAGGTGGTTTTGGAAATGTGTGCTATGTGTGTGATCTGTATTAAATGGTACCAAATTTGAAAAAGGGTGGTTAAAGGTGAACAGATGAAGCTAGAATTTTGAAAAATTATATTGCGGTCCCTTTTGGTGGTAGTTTTGTGAGGAAGTCGTGGTTTTGGAAATGTGTACTACAAGTGCACGAAAAGTACTAAGTAGTACAATATTTGATACAATTTGGTATTGGGTGAAGATATAGTTCTTGAAATCTGAAATTTGGCGTTAGAGTCGCTAATACCTGGTGTGTAGCCTGGGCCTGGGTGGTGGTTTTTGGAAGTGTGTACTGTAATTATAAGAAAAGTTCTAAATGGTACTATATTTGGTATTGGGTGAAGGGATATATATAAAATTCGGAAATTTAATATTTAGATTACTGACGGTATCTGTGTTTGAGATATGGAGGTGGTTTAGAAATGCGTCCTATATTTTTACGAAAAGTAGTATATTTAGTATTGGGTGAAGCAGCGTTAGGGCTGGAATTCTGAAATTTGATATTGAGAGTTCTGTTGGTTTGGATATGGTTTTGGAAAAGAAAAGTATTAAATACAGAAGTAATGAATACAGAAAAATATGCACTCTTTTTAGGTGTAGACTAACAACAAATACTAGCACTCGTCTGCCTCTCTACAGTGCGTTCTGTGAGTTTTGGCCGTTTCTCCAAGTTTTGTAATTGGGCTTGGAGAAATGTTGTATCCAAAACCAAATCAATCATTCCAATTGTTAGCTCTTGTATATCTTAAAGAACTATGTCTCTTAATAATTCTAACTCTTCCACCACCTATCCACCAATCAATTTCTTCAACTATCTAACCATCCTATCAGATTTCTGGATGAACAGTATGCACTTAAGGCCTCTGAGTAAAGCAGCTGATACGCAATTGCAACTTTTAAATTGAAGCGCTATTTTTCCGATATTTACTATAGTAATTTCTACATATTTTACAATGAGTTCTTCTGGAATTTAAACAAATAAAAAACCAGCTTAATACCCTCTACCATTTGGATGCAAGAAACTTGAAAAATTTAAAAAAAAAATCCGAAAACTACCACTTAAATGAAAACCGTTATATGCTGTGAAACCCATTACGAACTTCAAATACGAAAATGGAAACAGTTCCAGTGAATAATGTCGCTAAAATCATCAAAATATCGAATATCGGTAGGTACCGTTATATGGGGGCTATACCAAGACGTGGACTTGAATACAAAAATTTTTGTCATAGGCTGTAGTACCCATTACGAACTTCAACGACGAAATTTTAAAAAATTCCGGTAAATAATGTCGCTAAAATCATGAAAATACCGAATATCAGGAGGTACTGTTATATGGGGGCTATACGAAGACGTGGACCTCCATACGCAATTTTTGTCATAGGCTGTAGTACCCATTACGAATTTCAAATACAAAATTTGAAACAACTCCGGTGAATAATGTTCCTGAAATCAAAATCAAAATACCAAATATTGGGGGTATCGTTATATGGGGGCAATACGATATCGTGAACCTATATGGACAATTCTCTTCCTTGGGGTAAAGTACTCAGAAAGAACTTTTTGTGTGGATTTTCGGACAATTTCATTGTAAAATGTGGCTAAATCGTGAAAATACTAAATATCGGGAGGCACCGTTATATGGGGGACAATTCTGCTCCAGAGGGTGAAGTACACAGAAGCAACTCCTGCTGTGGATTCTCAGATAATTCAATTGAAAATTTTGGCTACAGTAATCAAAATGCCGAACATCGGGAGGAACAGTTATATGGGGGCCATACGATATCGTCGACCAATATAGCCCATCTTCGAACTTGACCTGCCTGCACACAAACGACTGATATGTGCAAAAATTTAGCTTCCTATCTTAATTCGTTTTGAGTCTAGCGTGATTACAACTGAATTTTTTAGAATTTTAAGCTAACACTAAGGAATTTGATAAGAAAATTTTAAGTCTGTGCGCAAGCAAATAAATTAATTTTTCCAACTCTACCCCATCCCAAAAATTTATATTTCTTTTAAGAAACGTCGGCGTATCCATCTGGAATTTTGGAAATTGTCAACTTTTCTTACAAAACAGACTCAATTTTACAGTGTAATTTCACCATAAGCTTTGTTTACCAAAGATCTTCAAATCATGGCCACTAATTTGTATAAACAACAACTTTATTTTGCTTTCTTTCATAATTCTCATTGCACAATTCGTAATGACAGTAAAATATTTATATGTGTAAATAAATTAGTAATAAAAAATATCCTAAAAATAACAAAAAAATGGAATGTTGCAAATGAAATAGATATACCCCATAAAAAATAGTGGCGACGAAGAAACCGCCCCAACTCCAAATTAAATTTATGGTAATCTTTTCTTTAACAGATATTCTAATTTTCGTATACGACTACGATCTCCTCCGGATTGTGGTGTGCCATCCGAAGGCTTTTCAGTACTACTACCACCTGTAAAACTGCCCACACTGAAAATAAAAGCTCGTTTTGGTGTCGATGTTGAACCAATGGCCGATGTAGATGTCGCTGCGGCACTGGTACTTGTGGAAACATTATTTTCAGTCGCTGTGGCATCTGCTATTAAATTATCAGTAGTTCCTTCCTCTGTGCCAGTTGTTGTGGCGACCGGTGGCACATCTGTATTTGCTTCTGCTTCGGCACTTTCATTGAGACCAGCATATGCTGCTGCCGATGCTGTACGTTTAAACAGATCTATGAGTTGCAGTTGATCCACTCGTTTTACGGCTTTCATATCTAGAATTTTTTGATATTCTGCTATTGTTATATCGGGTAATAGTTTCAGCACCTGCTGTGTAAAGTGTGCTGGTGGTTGCACTGGTGTCATCACAACTTTTATAATCATCTCCGCTCGCGTCATATCCTTTACCACAACTTTTGTATAGGATGTGGGTGCCTTGCGATTAACACTCGAACCAATTGATGGTAAATCCAGCAGAGCTGTCTTTAAACTGTGCGTATCCAAAAGTAATTGTTCACATCCCAAGACATTATTCGAGCCATCCGATAGAGTCAATTTACATTTGTACAAGACATTGATAAACTTTGGTATGAAGACATTTACAAATTTATGACAAAATTGTGTAAAATATTTGCGCGACGTGGCCAAATTGTCACGTAGAATGGGAACGGTTTGTTTGAAATTTGCGCAGATAGTTGTTATAAAAGCACTTTGATCGCCCACGTTGTTAATGCTTTGCCATTGCACTTTCGCCATGGCCTGTAATGAGGGCTCGCATCCAGCTTCGAGATCTTGTACCAAAAGTTGTATGCAATTCGATATTATGCTGTTAAAAGAAAAAATGTGTTTGCATAGCATTAGAAAGTTTAAATATTTTGTTTAATGTATACATACCGATGAAAGACATCTCTTTCTTCCGACATATCCACCTTATTTGCATATGCCGCTGCGACTTTTTCTTTTAGTTTTTCCTCCAATTGTTGTACTGTTTCCAAACAATACTCAGCTGTGGTCAGAACACAACAGATGCGTATGAGATCGTCACGTGTAAAACGTTGGGCATCACCCTCTTTCAAGAAGTTGTGTATAACTTGGCCAGCAGCAGTCGAAAGATTTTGCATATCTCTCGTTAGAAGAGACATACTTTTGCCTATTGTAATATTTTTAACATTATTAATTGGATCAATATCCGTTTTCGTTTTTATGCGTGCGTACATATCGCGAGTGTGATGAATTTGAATATGCAATTTTTCACAAGGAACAAAACACCAAAATCTATTGTTACACAAAACTTAACTGTATCACAAACCATAAATAGTATTTAAAAAACACAAGCCTTTTTTAGAGATTTTTAGAGAGATGATAGTGTAATAATGTTGCATACGTAAAATTAATGTTGTTAAGTGCATGCCCAAATGGTAAAAAGTTTTTAAAATTATAAATGACAAAATAAAACACAGCACCGAAAACATAAACTTTTAAGTAAAAAACAAATGCGCAGAACCAGGGTTATATTTTTTTACAAATTTTAAATTACCTTGGGAAAGCGTTTCTGGAATGAAGGTTCTCTGCCCATTGATAATGAGAAATATAATATGTAAGATAAATCAGGCTTTAATGTAATATTGAGACAATGATTAAGACTTGAACCTACTAATTGTAAATTAAAAATATTTTATTACAGACCCTGCTATAGAGATAAACCGTAGTTGACTCCCATGCTCTAATATTTATCGATTCGAAAAAAAGGTTTTGTTAAGCCCTAAATAATCTAGTTCTGCAGTACCGATTGCTGACCGTTTGGTCCGTTTAGTTCAGATTGTAGGTAAAGTTTTTAAAGTTTTAAGTAAACTAAGGTAGTTGGAATCGTTATATGTCCCCTATACAAAAATCATAGCCTGCATAGACAATTTTCTGCTACAAGGATTGTTTTGCATGTCTAAAAACCCAAATTCGAAAAAAAATCGTAAAAATGTGTTTAGAATCATAGAAATGCCAAATATGCGGTAACGATTTATGAAAACCGTGGGTTAATATGGCCAATGTTTTCACGTCAGAACAAGAACCCATAATGGTTATAAAAATACCGAAATCATTAAAATAACAAATGTCTGGATATAGCGCTCTAGGAAAATGTGTAACTTTATAAACAATGTTGTGTCAAAGAAGGTAAAACCCATGCAAAATTTCGACAAATATGTGTGTAAAATCCTTAAAATCGAATATACGAGAATAGTACCGTTGTATGATGGCTATACGAAAACGTGAACCTATGTATGCAATGTTCTGGCACCGAAGCCAGATCTCATTACGAACTGCAAATACCGAATATCCGATGTTACTGTTATATGAGCGCTATAGTTAAACATGGACATATATAGACATGATCTGCCACTGAAAATAGAAACCGTACAAACTTTAAATACCAAAAATGTCGTTAAAAAGGTGGCTTAACAATATGCCGAATATCGGGATGTACCGATATATAAGGGCTATCCGATCCTACATAAACAATATTCTGAAAAAGAAATACCGAATTGTAAAGGAATCTTATAGAGAGTGCAGCTGAACATATCGTAATATTCAATTCGGCAAAAATGGAAACATCTCCGGATACCAAACCGTTGGACTATTGTGGAAAGCAAGATTGACAGCCATAATTCTTGCCAAATGTGACCAATTCGAACAAATCTAAACTTATTCTAAAATTTGATGTTATTTCCGACATTTATTACTTTCATTAATAAAAATTAAAAAAAAAAATGTAAAAATTATGGCGTTTGACTTTTTTGCAGTTTTTATCTGACCCTGTACAACTTATGTGAAGTTATGTTTGTGTAAAGTTGATCATATCAACAATAATAGCTATTGAAAGCAATTACGGCTTCAAAGTGGCTTAAATTTGAAATGGGATGGGAAGCTAATACATGAGATCTATATTTTAATCGATTTCGATTTATAAACGAAGGATGGTATGTTATGTTGTATTTTTATTATTTTTATTTTTGGTGCACAATAAAGGAAAAATCTGAAAAAAAAAATGTATGGGAGCTATATCAAAATCTGGACAAATGGTCACCAATTTCAATAGGATTCGTCCCTGGATCGAACAATGGATCGAATCTGTGAATAGTTTTGCCTCAATCGGACTATAATTTCACCCAGACTGTTGTGCAGGTCCCTAAAATGAGACATTAGTCTATATCGTTTCCTTTACCATGTTACAAAGAAATGCACAAAGCTACCCTGCCTCACAGTGTAATATGGAGTATAAAAATCAAATTTTGTTTATGGCTCATTCTCTTGATCTATGTCAAGTAATTTTAGAGACTTTCATAGGAGACGGTAACAACAGGCAGAACTGTTCGAATATTTAAAATTAAATGAAGAAAAAAACATGAAAAATATATACAAGCAATATAAACAAAATCTAAACATTTAGTTTACGAGTGTTTAATTTGCATTGAATAAATAATATTCTTGATTACAAGCCCATTGGTGAAAATGATCATAACATGGATTTGGGATATATTTACAAATTCACATATTTACAGATAAAAAGAAATCCCAAAGCACTTACAACATAAAAATATATACAAAAAGAATAAAAAAACATACAAGAAGTAAAGTATATGATATACGTAGGTAAGCAATTTCCCAAGCAAAATGTGTGGATGGATGACAATCGTGCAAAGTTGGCACATGCAATGAACCAAAGACAAAGATAAACAAAATGGTTGTACTTACCGATCGACGTTGATGAGCTTAACAATTTCGGTATACTAAATTCCAACACCTTACTGGCATATTCACGTAAATATTTCTTAAATACCATGGCTAACTCATACATGGGTTGTTCATTGCTCAATTGATTACACTGAACCATACACTTTTTATAGAACACAAAGAGATCAGCAGAGCTACAAGAAAAAGCAAATCCTGATTAATACTTATTTTTAAGGATAATTTATCAACTTACCTTGGATACACCGTGGTTTTGGCATCGGCAATTTTCAACGGTTCCTTTACCTGTTCCACAAATTTCTCAATAAGTTCAGATAAGTTTCTGTCAATACTTCTTATGTAAATATCCAAATGGGCTTTGAAACAGCTGCCAATTTGATCATGAAACACAACTAGATTAGGATTTATGACAATATCTCCCGAAGAGGTTTCCGAATTTGCTGGCGATGTTAGTTTGTCGGTAGCATTTGGATTTATGCCCAATGTAACTCCTGTAAACCTTTTCGATAACAGCTGTTCGAAAGCTTGAGTCTTATTTATGGCAAACAACAACAATCGCACATCAATTTCATTTGTTCTCTTGGCCATAATCTTTGATAACTGGTCGCTTGTGAGTCGACAAAATTCTACTGTAATCCTTTCCGAGACCTCCCAGTCAAGGGGAAATACTGAACCGAATTTATCCTCAAAATCCAAGAGATGGCGTTTGAGCCAGGCATAACGTTTATCGATTTTATCCAACCATGCAATGTCTTGATTTTCGTGAAACAAATGAAGATATTCCTCCAGCTGTTGGGCAATAAACCACTTAAGTAACTCTTTCTTTACTTTAGGATCCAGTACAGAGACAACTTTGCAGGCATCGGCCAATTGATTCAAACTTAAACGAGGCTGATTGGAACTGCCACCACCGGCTTTTGAGGTGGGCGAGAAGGCTTCCTTAAAATCTTCCGTGATTTGTTGGGCCAATGTCACCTGTATGCGGTCCACACTTTGTGACAGATTCTTAATTTCCTCAATATCCGAATACTGTTGGAAATGTTGATTGACCTCCGTAATGGCTTGCAATGGATTTAGAATTTCTCCATATAGACGTTTTTCTATTAACTTTTCCAAACTTTCAATGCCACCCACAAGCATATGCAAGTGGTTGAGAGTCGTTATGGCCGATGTCAGATTTCGCTTGGCACAATCCAGCTGCTTGATGTCACGGGTAATTTCCTTTACCATTTCCTCAGTCTTTTCAGCTCTCGTCTTAACATCAATGATGTGGTCGTAAAGTGTAGAAATGACTTTCTGTGCCTCATACAAAGCCATTTGACCATCTTGGCCGGTGTTGGTCTGACCCCTGACCACGGAGCGAATATTATCGTCAATCAATGACACCTCATATTGCATGCGCTGTATGGTATCATCAATGGTGGCCAATGACTGTTCATTCGGAAATAGTTGATTTATGTAGTCCACGCAATTGAAATCTGGGGAATCCATAGGGTCATCAGATTTGAGGACTTTGTCAATGACCTGTTTAACTTCTTTTGAGAAATGTATTTTATTGTCGCCTTCCAAGGTACCCTTGGAATTGGCATCCAAAGGTGCCTCTGTTGCATTCATTTTCGCGGATTTCGAGTTGATATTTTATTTTATTTTATATTATATATATTTTATTTTATTTTTTTTGCAGATCGCGGAACTGACAAAGACGCGATATCTTTGCATATGTGCACTTTCACTGAGACAAATTATCAACTCTGCTAGTACTTTACTGAACATCTCTGCTCGTGGGAACACAAATAAAAGACGTCCCCAACGAAACAAATAAGAAATCAAAAAGGAATGCTTGATAAAAAAGAACGAGAAAGCAAAATCCCCGAGGGAACTCTGTTGTTTACGAATGAGACATGAGGAAATCGAACCGCTGGACACATTCATTAAATGAACCGTGGGAGTAAGTTCCTTCAACTCGAGGAAGAAATGGGCCGGCCTTAGGTCGTCATTTTGACGCCGTTAAGAACATTAAACTGAGTACAAGAAATTAAGATTTAATTTAACTTCTCAAGATCAAACACGTCCGACTAGAAACAAAGCGAAACTATTGTTACGACGGCGGCATATCAGTTGTAAAGCAATCGACGGCGGCGTACTGCGACTTTGGGGTACTCTGTACCATTTTAGAAGAATAAAGGTAGATGCGTCAGCATTTGGGAATATCAATATTTCAAAAATATTAAAGATCTATCTAAAACAAACAAAATACAAAAATATTGCAAGGTATTAAAAATTTTAGACAAATACTCCTTCTTGTATGTATAAAATGTTACGTTTTTATTTTTTAATTTGAAAATGTGGCATCTCCGTTACCTCCGTTACAAACAAGACAAGAGATGGTAACTCTGAGAAAAGGCTACAAAGAAATCTACAACACCACAGTTGTGGCAAATGGACCTTATTGAAATTGAATTCCTTTTATTGTCGTTTTTGAACTAATATTAAATAAAATAGCTATTAAAGAAATGTATATAATTCTTCAACTACCCCAATAACTAAAATAACTACATAAACATATTACGTCAGTATATAATCCAGGAGATTTCATCCCTATTGTCAAATGCATGTGATTTTGAATCAAATGTACGAATTTTGAAATTTCGAAACAAAAATAGAAGCTCGGGGTAATTGCACAAGATTACATCTAAAATAGTAGGACAATACAGTTTTATCACTAAATAGTAGACTTTGTTACCTATTTACGTCGAAAATTTGCATTTATTTTGCAACCAAATTTGAAATAATTTCAAATTATTGTATTTTTTATCAAAACAATTGACAGAATTAGGGCACCAAAAGAAAAACCTTCTGTAATTTTGCCATGTGTCAAACCAATTTTGAAATTGAAAATGTTGAATGAAAAATTATTTAAATTTGTGAAAATTCTTAAGAATTGCATACCATAACAATCTCCGATTGGTGTCGAATAAGAAAACTTATAAAAATCTATTTACTTTTGAAAAAATATTTAAAATTTTTTGACATATCAACGTTCCCAAGCGTTGATGCATCTACCTGTATTTTTCTACCACGGAACTGACCATGGTAGAATTAATAAGGTAAAGTCAAACAATCATATGTTTACAATTATTTTCAAAAATGTGCATTTGACAACATCTCATTGTCAAAATTTATATAAACAAATCCATTGTATACACACAAATCAGAGATGGGAATCTTTTTTCTATGCAGTGAAATTTGGCAAGGTAAGTTACAGAAAATGCAGAGAAGGGTATCCTTATTTTGGAATTCTACCATGGAATTGACAATTGAATCGAGACATGTTCGTGTAAATGACCCTTAACTGTTGCCACTGTTGTATATGTCAACCTGTCAGTTTCTAGTTGACAACTGTTTGCAAAATTTGGCGCCTATTGTGTGTGTTTGTGTGTGGATTGTCGCAATCCAAGTGCCGGCACCTGCATGGACTGCATGTTCGTGTAAATGACCCATAATGGGCTCAAATGTGGTATGAACGCGGTTTAAGTGTTGCCACTGTTTTACATGTCAACCTGTCAGTTTTCTTCATGTCTCATTCGTAAACAACAGAGGTCCCTCGGGGATTTTTCTTTCTGTTTATTTTTTTTATTTTTTATCAGGCATTCCTTTTCGATTTCTCATTTGTTTCGTTGGGGACGACTTTCATTTTGGTTTCATTCGCGCTTGCTTTCGCACAAAGGGACAGAAGTGCGCGCGTTTTAGAAGCACAACTCATCTGTTCCAAAACCTGCAAGAACCTTATCAGCGTTATACCGCATTACAAGTTAATTTACATTAAAATAACAATCAACTAAAAATGGATCCTTGTGTTATAGAATTTATAGGAGAGAAATCAATAATTGGTGTTATACCCAATTTCTCCTTTGATCCATTACATCTTATATCTGGAAGTGTTGGTCCGTTCCGAGCTGGTATGCCTGTGCATGTTCCATTGTGGCTGGGAATACATCTAAGGAAACAGCAAAAATGCCGAATAGTGCCACCAGAATGGATGGACATGGACCTATTGGAAGAGATAAAGGAAGAAGAGAAAAGATCCAAGTAAAGCAATTCAATTTTACGCTGATTATTTTTATTGCACGCTCTTGTGTTTTTATTAGATTCTTTACGAAAATGCCCAGCGAACATTATATGGTTGAGGCCCAATTGATTATGAGCACGGCACCGGATGATGTGCCTCGATGTGAAGAAATACGTACCATAATAAAAGATATCTTTGATATACGTGAGTCAAAGCTTCGCACATCCATCGATGCATTTATTCGTGGAGAGGGTACCTATGCCAAATTGGATAATCTAACCTTGCTGGAAATGCACAGTGTGAGACCAATATTGCCGCATTCGCTCGATCATATTGCCCGGTATCAACGTACTGCTGTGGCAACGCAACGTGACACCTCCATGTTGGGTCTTAATTCCAGTACAATGAATTCAAGCTCATTCTTAACACAATAATAATGCGAAGTGAGTAATAATTTTAGGTTTATGAATTAAATGATTAAGAATATGAATTAAAGGTGCTGGGGAAGTTTCAATTTTTTTGTATTGCAGTCTGAAAATTAACATAGATGTTGAAGTTCAGTTGTTTTGTCGAGTATTAAAGTTAACATATTTCATTGTTTCCGCGAAAAGACATACCTTAGAGATATACCATGTACATCTTCCATATATTATATATTGTATTTAGATAAATTAATTAAGTTTGCTTTGCTAAGTTTCGATAAGTTTCAAATAAAATCACAAATCTACCAAATTCCATTGCTAATTTTCTTGTACATAATACAATAAATATGTACGTTTTTTATTATTACAAACAATAATAATACAAAAATAAATGTATAAAGTTAGTTTTCCATACCATGGGTGTAATGACGAACAGCGGCTAAATGTGTGATAAACATCATCTAAATACTAATTGCTAAACTGTGTATACCTATATATGCGTTATGTTAGTTGTATAAATATTTTCCAAAACTGCAAATATTCGCATAAATTGCACTTAATTTCCATTACATTTTAAACTTACATGCTATGAGAGAGGGTTAATAAATATTAAATAGTCTCCGAACGTGGATCTAATTTATGGATAGCCTGCATTAATGTTGGATTGTTGTTAATACTGATGCCCTTACGAGACATATCAGTCAAGCGGTCAGTAATGGGTTTTTGATCACGACCTTTTTGCCACCTGGAAAGGAAGTTAAGAAATAGCTAGTTTTAATGGAGTTTCTGTTAATTGTAAAAAATGACAACCTACCACAAATGTGCACAGGTGTGCAATAATGGTATATACAATGGCAAGAGATCTATATCACAAAGGGTCTCATAACGATTCAAAGCCAATGCAGACCATTTCTCTGCCGATGGATGGGGTACTGGCGAACTAGTACAAGCTGCCACCAAACGACACAGTATCAATAGGACCGGCTTTGAGCGATCCATAAATATTTTGTTCAACAGCATAAAAGTGTTTTCCAACAATGGTATACAGGCATCATTGCGTTCATCTAATAATTGACAAGCTTTTGTTAATTCAATGTTTTGTAAAAAATCCAAAAATGTCGAGCTGGATCTCAGTGTGGAATTTTGTGCTATATGCGTTAGAAGGTCTTCAAAAGCTCTGCCCCTCTCGGCTATCAATGAGGCAGAGAAATTCCCCATTAAAACCTTGTTGGGAAAATCGATATTGGACATTTCCTGTGGGAAATCTCGTTTAAGATTCTGATACATATCCCGAAAATCAGTGTAACGCCTCTCTATTGTGGCCGGCTGAGGATCCATTGCGGTGCGTGTATCTTGTCTTACGGTTAGCATATATATGACATAACGTTTCACTTTCAAGTCTTCACCGTCTGGTGGCATAATACGAGCCGATAAAATTTCAAATTGTAAAACTGGAGTATTATTTTCTGGAAGAGTTTGTGGCAAATAATGTGGTAGACGTTCCCAGAGATCTGCAAAAGATGATATGTTATAATATTATCGTGAGATATTTGATGGAAACTGAGGAAATTTTATTCAATTTTGAATCTCATTTCTTTAATGTGGAATTGTATCTCATAGCTTACCTTTTTGTGGCATTTTAGCTTCGGAATCTTGAATGGTCAATGTACCCACTTCTATACTATCGGGACTATCCAAGTCTTCAGGGTTGTCTGGTACATCTATAGACGAAACCATTGTTCTACGGGCCATTGCTGCACGCACTGCAAAATTGATAAGTTTTAAAAAATAAGAACAATACTTTCTATGATATTTTAAAAAGTTACGGAGCCTTTTAGTATTTTTGATTTTGCATTCCTCACTATTTGTCATCGTTCTTTTGTAGAAATTGTTGAATTGTTAGGAGACAAATATTGTCTTTCCATTTTAGTTCAATATTGACACTTCGTGGTGGTTCTACACCGTTTTTCAACATGCCATGTCTTGGAGGGAAAGTCAAAATGATGAGTACACATACTCTAACAAAATTTTGTACCTTAACTTTAACGGATGAATTTTCAATAATCATCAAACAAATCAATATCTAATATGATGTCATCCAGAGTCCTTAGCAATGCTAAAATTTTCGCGTATACATTGAAGGTTTCACTTAGAATTTCTCTAGATATATATGGGAAATTTCAACTCTTTTAACTTCATTTAGAGTTAACACTTTGTCGCACTTTCTAAAAAAAACATTAACTACGCTGTTAAGTTTTCATGACCAATTACAACCTTTGTTCGTATTGTTTTCTTTTGAAATATGTCTCAAATTACCTGTGATTAATAAAAGTCCAATAAACAAAGAATAGAAACAATACCAAAAAAATCCCCACGCCCACTCTACGCACTTTGTTTTGTTAAATAAACTGAAGTGACTAATCTCGTATACAAGTATTAATTAAAGATGCAATGCAAGGCAATATGTAATTTACACTCAATTTCAATAACAACCTTCCTGTCACACAGAAATATGCAATATGCTTTGTTTAAAAAAAAATACTTTTATTTGTAAGTGGGTCATTCGACCAAGAAAGTACGACTTACTGATGATGTAGATGAGCGAGCAACTTAATAACACAACAAAGTAGTTACTAATACTTCCTTAATGTAATTGCACAAAAAAAAAATAAGAGAAAACAAGAGCCCCCCAAAATCAGCTGTTTTTACAATAAACAAAAAATGTATATTGTCACTAATGTAGCTGCGTACGGGCGTATGACTGGTTTTAAGACATATAGGTTGCTTTATACTACGCAATTTTAGAAATGTTGTCTTGTGTAACAACAGACAATGAAAATAACAGCCCCAAAACACCAAACATAAAGTAGTTGGACGTATGGCGTAACGCATGCAACTTCCTTTGATTTATGACCTAAAGAATTCTTTAGACTACACAATCTCAGGTTAATGAGGGATTGAAAAACAATACATTAATAATTACTAAATATTAAGGAAGGATAAGTATTTGGCTTGAAAAGCGCTTCATTTGGAGACTTTGATGTGCATTTATACTAAATTTAAAACCAGGTTTTGCCAGTTGCTCTGTATTTGCTAAAAAAATGATACATGTAAACGACTTACTATTATAAACAAGCTAGCTTAGGCATCGCCATTTCTAACAAAATACCAAAATATACTGATTTTTCCTATAAATTATTTTACGATAAGTTTTCAAATAAAAATTACTCAGTAAAATTTACTAAGAGAATTTTCTATTTTATGTACAAAAGTTTTCGAAGATTCAGTCAAATATAGCAAAAACAAGTGTTTCGAATATGTGTTAACAACATTTTTAGTTAAAAAATAGTTAATTAATGGCGTAATGCAATAATCCATGCTTATTGTCGGAGTAATAAATAAAATAAATTAATAATTGCCTGCTGGACAGTTGTTTTTCAGTCAGCTGATGTTACTGGATAATTCTTACTAGGTTATATTTTCTAATAAGATTTTGCAAATTCACAGTATTATTGCTCTCTTTACTCGTTCTCATTTTATATTTATATTTCCTTCCTATATGATATTACAAAAATGGGAAAATTATTAGATTTTTGCAGGCTCCGGGAGCGTTTTGTATTTCTTCCAGCAATTCCCAAATCTGGGGTGCTTTGAGCATAATTTGTCATTATACGCGTTGTTGGAACATTTGTGCGCTTTACGTTTTACGACAAATGTAATTAGCCTGACAGCTGTCAAATCATTTGCTTACTATTTTGCTTTCAATGTTTGAGATAATGGAATAGTTAAAAAGGAAAAAGTGATTTTAATTTTAATTCTCTAAAATATATAATATATATAATTATTGATATACTTCAAGACTCGTGCAATTAAAATACGTCGAACCAAAAAAAGCAACATGGATGCAGCGGAATTGTTAACCCAAAATGTTGATAAATCACAGGTTGGCACAACGAATAAACATTATTATTCAATTTTAACCAAAATTAATGTCATTTTTGTTGTTTTAATGTCCTTTAGCTACCACCTTTACACCAGAAACGTATATTGGCCTTTGTCAATCATTTTCTGATCAGTTCCTGTAGTTTTCTAAATGAATTTTCACTGCAATGTGAAACCAAGTTCATTGAAATTGAAAGGAAACTGCAAAAAGTCGAGGCAGCACTAACAATTTTGGAGGCAAAGGTAATAAATACATTACATGGATAAATAAACGAATAAAATTTAATATTTGTATTAAAATTCCAGTTAGCCTCAATACCCGATGTAGAGAATAAGGAAAAAGTAATCTCCGATTCCAACAATGAAAAGACTGCTGTGTCCAGTGAACAAACCAACAACGATGATAGTAAAAAGACTGAGTCAACCAGCGAGACTAAAGCAGATGAAGAACCAACTGAAACATCAATTCCTCAAGGCATTCCAGCAGCAGAGCATAGTGTATATAAAAAATTCTTTAAAATGCTACAGGTTGGTGTACCCTTGCCGGCCGTTCAATTGAAAATGCAATCTGAAGGCCTTGATCCAAGTATTCTGAGGTACCATAAAAAATATTTTGTAAATATGCGAAATTAATACCTTGTTTTCGTTTTTAGCAACCCTCAACAAATTTTGCCTTTCGAGGCAACCGATGAAAGTTGATGATATTGCATGGGAATGTATGAAATTATCCAAATACTTTTACTGTGATTATAAATGTTCGTATACTCTAGAAACGACATGAACAAACAAATTAAAACCATGCCATGGTATTAAATTTTTCTTTTGTAATAAGAAACGATTTTAAACAACCAGTTTTATGAGAAATAGAAAACCAAGTATTGTATAAAATACAATGAAAATTATTTTTTAACTGATGTTAGGTATATTTTGATAGAATAGACAAAAATGGCTATTAGTTGATTTGAATACCTGAAGTGTCTGAAAAGGAATCTCATATTTTTCATATTTTAAGTACCACAAAACAAAAATATAGAATATGCGAAGGAAATTTTTCTAATTAAGATTTCCAAAAAATCCATCCCTAATGAAGAATAAAGTGATATAACTTAACGGAGAAAGGTAAATGTGGCTTTCTTCTATAAATGTTCCCTTCTTCTTGCGAACACTTTGTACTGCTTTACGGAGAGAAGACATGATATTATTTTTACAGACTATTAAGAAAGTAATACTTTCACAAACTTGTAATAATGTAAATTGTCCTGCCAATTCAATCTCATTTGGTGGACATTGGATTATCGAGCAACATCATTTTGTAATAATTTGCACAAATTATTGGGTTGGGTTATTCCATACACCCCAAATTGTAGAGATATTCAATTACATTTTCAATATGACTTTCAAAATGGAATATCCAGTTTTAATAACCCACCCAAACACGACTGTCCTCATCTCGATGATACACAGGTTCACTCAGATATTATAGTATTAGAATTTGGGCACAGCTTCATCCTAAGCAATTCTTGGGTATTTTTCATTGCAAATGTTTCAGTCTAGAGTACAGGTAAGGTTGGAGCTTTCAGAATAAAACTACATGTCCAGTAGGTAAGCAGCGCAACTCATTTAGCTCCTTGAGCTTAAAATGGGGTTCAGATACAAGACAGCCTATAAACTACTTCGGGCTGCTGCAGCCCATTGGATACAGTTTAGCAAGTGTTTGTACGTTTTCTTTGGTGAATGCCACTATATTAAAAACGCACCCATAGACTCCTTGCTTAGTTTTGTTCATAGAAATTGGTAATAGATGACTTTCAATACATTGTCTTGCATTTGATGCCTCATTCCATATTTATATACTGGCGAGATATTTGGCATCAAAATCAGTTTGCCAATTCAACGATTCATAATAGCCACATTTGTGGTAAAACAGTACCACCTTTTGGCTTGTCGGTATTTGCGAATCGAACTTTGCTGACATAAAAGTTGGAGTTCCTGATGCTAGGAATCAGAATATTATCAGGTTTTTTTTTTTTTTTTGAAACAGGAAAAACTCCATGTACTTTCACAGAAATAAATTAGAAGGTTGGTCTTCCATTTAAAATATTGATCGACGACTATAAGAATCATAAGGGCAAAAGGCACACAAATTTTGGGAACAAGATTTCGTTGCAACTGGATAGTATCGGCTTTTGGACGACTGCTTATTGAAATTCTTAAATTGTGACAATTGTTGATTCATTCTTTTCACATTTATTTGATTACCATAATCAACCTCCACGCTCAACTTTAATTTTAAGGCATTGACAAACGATTCCCGAAAACGCATTGCAATGAAAACACACATCTCGATTTTGTTTTCTCCAAAAACACTAGCTTTTTTCAAAGTGTTTTCAAATACATATTTTTTTATTTTGTTTTTTAAACAAAAATTACAAAAAATGTAATTTTGTACAACTTAAAAATGTACACACGAAGTAAAAAAACAACGTCGTCTTCAGGCATTACGAACCGGCTGGTGAGGCGAATAATTTAGAACTGAATCATTTGACCCTTGCGTTTCTTGTCACCACCCAATTCGAAATGTTTGCAACGCTTCAATGGGGACTGTTTGCGGTACTTGCATTCAGTGCATTCCATACGCAAGACAATCTTTTTGGTGGTTTTAGCCTGGAAAGGGAGAACAAAAAAAAAATAGTCATTAATATTGTTCACTCAAACAATTTAAGATATGATAAATTAATATAAACAATTGTCCATATCTTCCGGTTAGAGATTCTGTTTATATGTTTTATCCAGTAACTCATTTGGAGACCTTACAAATATGGCGAACCAAAATGGTTCATTGCTATGGCATATATTTATCCCACCAAAATGCCTAGTTACTTGTTTCAAGTAACAACAACAAACTGGTTCTACGAATATGCCGCCTTTACAGGACTTTTTGCTTTAAACTATGCCAAAAGGCAAGAAACTTACCTTCTTCCTGAAGATGGGCTTAGTTTGACCACCAAAACCTTGTTGTTTTCTGTCGTAACGACGTCTACCTTGGGCACCCTTACGCTCCTTGGACTTCTTGTACTGGGTGACTTTGTGCAATTTGTGGCACTTGCACTTCTTGCAGAAGGTGCGACGTTGTTTTGGTACGTTTACCTGAAAACACAAAGATATTTTATCAATATTCTGCTCTGGAATTTTGCACCAAACACTTGGAAATTTAATTCGAAAAAAATCAAAACATTTTTAATTCCAACTGCATCCGTGGTCATTTAACACAATTTTAATTTCATCGTATTTATTTACTTGTCATATTTTCACACAAAATATTTTACAAATTCTCTGTATGGTCATATTTTAAAATCACTTTATTGCTTTTTTAATGTTTCAGCAGGGCTTTTGCTTTGATGTTTTTTGATTTTTTACATTAAATTTCATTAAAAAACTTTTCGGCACATACCATCTTGACGAATTTCAGTTGTCAAAGAAAGAAACGAAAAGAAAGAGAAGGCAAATAACGGATACGCCATCTGTGTCAACAACTGTCAAATTGTGTGTTATGCTAACAGAACACAGCTCTATTGTACAGGGTTGCATTTTTATTTATAATATTCTTGCAATAACAGTCGAAGTAATAATTTAAGTGATAAAAAAATTTAATAGTTTTTTTTTTTTTTTTTTGAAAATAAATACACTAGTATTATTATCATGGCAAAACAGTATTGGTAGACATTTTTGGTAAATCGAATATGACAACCCTTTTTTGATTTATATTCATGTTTAATTTATATTCATGTTTAAAATGTAAACGTACGGCAAGTGGCATATTTTTCTATTATTCCCATCCTTGGCCCGTAAAAAAAGTTTTATGTTCCATATCTTAGGAAAATGATTTTTTTATCTTTTCTTGAGCTTTAACGTATAAAAATAGAGATTTTGAACCATTTAAGCAAACGTTGCTGTCAATTCTTGCGAAGACATGGAATGGCGGTTAATTTCAAGTCAGTCTTATTGGATCAAAACCTCAGAATATCCAGCTGAAATTGATGCCAGTCTTTATAACATCTGCAGTATAGGTTCCGTACTAAAACGAAAACATACGCTGACTACGTTATGCAATGACTTTAATAACAATTGGACTAAAAATGCTGATTGTCGATCTTCATACTTGCTGCGGCAAAATTAAGAATACTTTAAATCAAATGCTTTAATGCGAAAACAATTCCCTAATCGAATCATAACTTATGAGGCAAATAGTTTAGTTTTGTGTTTTATAATATGTTTACGTTGTAAAGGGTTAAAAAAACTCTGTCTGTTTAAAGTGTCAGCATGACATTATCTTAGTAATTGTACAGGATGAGATGAAATAACTGCAACTAATTTCAGACTCCTGTCATTTCTAAGACACTCGTCCGACAGCTGTTAAAATTATTCCAGTAACAGTTCATTATATTGCTTACAAGCCTACAAAAGCATTTTGTTGAGAAGTGCCCAGAAAAAAAGTTGTTCCTGGTGGAATTCAAGAGTGATAGTGTGAGCACTCCAGCATTTAAATGTGAATAAATCTTTTGTGTCTCGTACCATCGCTCGTTACCGTGACACTGGTAGCGTAGCCCGACGTCAAGGGAGTGGACAACAGCAACATCAGCAGAAATGGTTCGAAAAGTAAAGAAGCGACTTGATCGAAACTCGCGTCGCAGTGTCCATTCCATTCGGCAAATATCGAAAAATGAGCTCGGGGTAAAGCTATGGAAATTCCAAAAAGTGCAAGAACTTTTTTTTTCTCATCGGAGAAAACCAAATTCGGCAGGGTTTTCTCCGATGAGAAAACATTCGTTGTCCAGCAGTTTGTAAACAAACAAAATGATCGTGTTTACTTCCCAAAGAGGTCAGCTGCAATTTTGCACCTTCGATTGACCACCAGAACTCAAGCGCCGGCAATGGTGATGGTGTGGGTCGCCATAACAGCCGGTGGTCGCTCTCTGTTCGTATTAATCGACCGTGGCATCAGAATAAATGCCGCATATTATCGCGAAAATATTCTGGAGGGTGTATTAAAGCCTTGGGCACGCAAACATTTTGGCCGCAGACCTTGGACATTCCAACAGGACTCAGCACCATCGCACTCAGTTCGCGTCACCCAAGAATGATTATAAAATGAGGTTCCTCGCTTCATTTCCAGCGCACAATGGCCACCAAAATCTCCGAATACTAATCCGTTGGACTATTATGTCTGGATATTTTGGAAAACAAGGTTGGCACTAAAAAAATACCAAAGTGTCGATCACCTCAAGCGATTCGCCGGGAATGAGCCAAAATACCGCAGAGCAACATTCAGGCAGCGTGTGACGTTTTCATTGGCCGTTTGAAGACCATAATTCGTGCCAAAGATGATCGATTCGAGCAAATCTAGACTTATTCTAAAATTTGGAGCTATTTTCGAAATTTTTTTCTTTAATTCAATAAAATTAAAAAAATGTAAAAATTATGGCTTTTGACTTTGTTGCACTTTTTTATCTCACCCTGTATGTATTAGCATGGCACAATTACATAAGCTAGAACAAAGCAACGATGGGAATGCTTATTTGAAATTACATTATCTACTTAATTTTATCATGGGTTTACCTAAACACGCAAGGTAAGTAACATGGTACAATTTTTTCAAGGTAACTCATTTCAAGTAATAATATCTGTAGCTCATTTTATCAAATTTAACTAATTTGATGAAAGCTTCCCCTCTCTGACTTGTGAATATACAATAGATTTACGAATAAATAATTTTATAATAAGTTGTTTATCTTACATCATTAATTAAATGACCCATGTTTAAGACTTGTTCTTCACATCAAGAAACCAAACGTCATAATTTCATATTATCGAGCCTTTACTGTATTTACTAAATACTACTCTCCTTACACACTCCGCTCTCCAAACATATAATACGAAGATTACATTTGCAAGCACACACACAGACATGTGGTTGCTTTATGCATGACGCGCTAACAATTTGATGCGGCGTCGGTAACAGTCGGCTGACTGTATATCAACTGTCTAGCTACGACAGACGAACGAACGAGCAAACTGTATGCCATAGAGCACTGTACAATATTCCGACGACGCTGATGTTTGTTATTAAAAACAGAGGACGATAACAGATTGTGTTCAGTTTATTTCGTACAAACAATCATCGAGGGCGGCCGACAACTAAAAAGAGACAACGAAAAGCATATAACCAAATGAAAGACGAAAGAGAAAATAAAAGAAAAAACAATGTGAATATAGCGCAAGTAGCTCAGAGACGGCAATTCGATGCCTTGTTTTACAGTTCTTAACTAAAAGTTAACACAGTTTAATAATGACGAGAGCCTAACGTAAGATACAGGGATGGAAATGTCCATTGTCCAGTTAACTTTGTTTAAATGGTGAGAAAGTTAACTATTGATGACGAATGGTTTACCAAATATTTTCGTTTTATGAAAATTGTAATTAAAAACCTATTTGGCAAGAACGAGGCCAGAAGTTACGTGTACGATAGCGTTAGCGGATGGGTACGGTTTTGCGTTAAGCTTTGAACACAATTTGAGGTTTCGTTAAAAGAAAACGAAGTGGCATGAAGAATAGCCCGTTGAAACTGTCATTGTTTGTCACTCGAGTTACATGAAATTTTAATGTCACTGACGCAAAACCAGGAGTAAAGCGTTGACGCTGTTTTCCCTTGATAGTTTGCTAAGAAATCTAGAAGTATAAACAATATTCAAAACATGAAGAATTTGGTACATTAAGCCAAATTTTATAAGCCCCGGTTTACAACGAGTTATTTCATGAAATTTGTCCGCGAAGCAAGTGATGTTTCTTATAAAAACAAATAACGATCCATCTCACTTTAAAAGACATTTGAAAAATGCAACTCTGTTGGTTTTGTTTATTTTTAATTTTTAACTAATTTCTTGTACTGGGGAAAACCTGCGAAATAAGAATGGAATTTTGGGGTTATTCTACAAGATTGAATCTAAAATAGTAAGACATTACAGTTTTATCCCAAAATTCTACAATGCGTTGTTCATAAACGTCGAAAACATGCATTTATTTTCCAACCGAATTTGGAATAATTTCAAATTATTGTATTTTTTTATTCTAAACAATACACAGAATGGAATTGGAAAGAATAAGGGCACCAAAATAAAAAAAAATTGTATTTAGGGGAAAACTTTGTTCTACCTTCTGTAATTTTTTAATGGATTTATTTACACTTTTTCCTGTCATGGAAATGTCAAATTCGATATTTTGTTGTTGTTGTTCCACTTTAGCTCCCCCAAAATTCCTGGTGTAAAAAGTTTCTAAAGAAAACATGTAAAATAGCGAAATTTTTACTACATAGCATCGTACAATAAGGAGGTAGAACAGCTTCGTAAAACTACAGAAATACAGTCCTGAGGCTATACCCGCTTCCTGTCAAATCGGAATGCAAGAAGTTGTTTTCATTTATTCAATATTTTTCCTAATTTTATAAATCAGTTAAACAGCGGGAAAAATGTATGAAATTCCTGGAGTTTCTTTCAAAATTATGATATAGACATTTCTATCTTTCAATTCCACGGAAAAAAACTGGCGAATAGCTTTAATACGCGTCTCGCAATTTACGCATCTTCCAATCATTGATTTTGAAAATATTTTGTTTTTATTTTTCAAATCAATAAATATATACACAAAATTGGCAGAAGTCGGGCACACTTAGAAAAAAATTGTATTTAGCTGGTAGCACTACCTTACCTTTTTGTTGTATCATGCTTCATAGCAAAAAATTTAAACTCGACATCGCCTTTCGTTTAAAAAACACCATAGATTTTAACAATGAAATAGCCTTTGATTCGGAAAGTCCATTACATTACTGAAAGAAAATAAGTAGAATTTATTTTATATTCTGTTCTAACAAAAAAATATATTTTCGAAGTTAATGGGCATGGTAGAATAAAGATGGTAAAGCTGCGCAATCATAAGTTTACTTTTTTTTAATTTTTTCTTTGACAACGTATCATTGATGAAATGTTTATGCGTAAATCCATTAAATTTACACAAATCAGGGATGGGAACTTGCTTTCTATTCAGCTAAAATTTCACTGCACAGAAAACAGGTTTCCATCTCTGATTTGTGTATATATAATGGATTTATAAATGTACCATAGTAAAATTATGAAGCTAAAGTCATTTCCAATAAACCATGGTAAAATTAAGAAGTTAAGGTCATTTCATAAAGCAACCTTGTCACATTTCACTACATAAAAACAGGTTCCTATCTCTGATTTGTGTATATACAATGGATTTATAAATACAAAGTTTGACGATGAAATGTTGTCAAATGAATAATATTTGAAAAAATTGAATAATATTTGAAAAAATTTACCTTGTCACATTTCACTGCATAGAAAGTTGGTTCCCATCTCTGATTTGTGTATGTACATTGAACTTATATATGTATATATATACATTTTGATAATGAGATGTTGTCAAATGAATAATTTTGAAAACATTTTTAAACATATGATTTTATGACTTTACCTTCTTGATTCCACTACGAAATATACATTACATTTTGTTATTTTCACCGAATTTTCGAATTTTATAAACTAATGCTGTTTAAGAATTTCTAGAATGGCAACATTTCATCTACGATAACTGATTTTTCTTTTATGATATCGAAAAAAAATTGCAAAACTAGTATATTCTTGCACGTTCTGGAACAGAGCTAAAATCTTAGCATGCTTTAAAAGACAGTTTGACACAATAAGACTCTCCTAAAGATTTGCAATTTCCCTATTTCCTCTATTCCAAAAGTTGTACAGTAGAATTTTACGCAAGGTACAATTAAATTATAAATTAGAATTCCCAGCTCTGCATTTTCTGTAATTTACATTTTGTATGTATACAATGGATTTATAAATATTGATTTTGACAATGAGATGTTGTTAAATTTATAAATTTGGAAAAGATTGTAAACATATGATTGCATGACATTACCTTCTTAGTTCTAAAGTCATTTCAAACAAGCATTCCCACCTTTGAATTTTCTGTAATTTACCTTGTCAAATTTCAAAGCATAGAAAGCAGGTTCCCATCTCTGATTTGTGTATGTACAATGAATTCATAAACATACATTTCACCATGAGATGTTGTCAAATGAATAATTTTGAAAAAAAAAATGTAAAAATATGATTTCATGACTTTACCTTCATAATTCTACCATGCCTTTTTTAATTACACTCTTTATAGAAAAATAATCGAGTCTTTGTTATTTCGTCTTTATATGTTATATCTCCGGGATTTTCGATGACTTTAAAGTGCACATTTATGTGACTTTGTCAGAATATCGAATGGAAAGTTCGACAGTTCCCTATTAAGGGTTTTAATTGCTTCACGTCTAATGTATATTTTTTCTGCGATATTATTATTATTGCAAAAAGGATTAAAATTGCAATCAAACATTACGAATAAAACATACATCCATATATATACATACATGGTGTGCGAGATAGTTGCAAAGCGTAGGTGTAATGATAACTGGGTGAATTGCTTGGGAATTCAAACATTCTAAGAACGCCGCCAAAAGATTTTTTTACATGAAATTAGTCATGATTTTTCACATACAAACATACATATGCATGTATCTTCGCATATACACATGTATGAATCTATCTTCGTATGGCATACGATATTTTTTACATCTTCGGCTTCGTTCGTTTATGCTAGCTTTTTTGACCAAGCAATTTGTACATTTGTACGAATGCGTGCTGTGCAAATCTCTCATAGAATCATTTTACTGGTGATTAGTCAGTTGTTTTGTGAATGAAATCATAGCTTTTTCATCACTACGACTTGCAATATTTATGGCGTACACAATGTTACACATGAACACATACCTATATTGTTTTGTTGTATTTATAAATATGTATGTGTGTGTGTTTGTTCAACACACTCACACAGAAGTATTTTGGTATGAATTTATTCTTCTTTCTTTTACATACAAGTACAGTACAGATGTCATCAACCCACATTTCCGAGGCAGTCGTAAATATTAGGCTGTGTCGAAATAATAACTTGTTTTATAATCTAAGGCTATGTTCACACAAATGCCATTTATGGCACGAATGATGTCACTGTCATGATTTATTTGAGGTAAAATTCATTTAAATATAGGTGCGCCAAAAGGATCACGATAATGCAATTATTATGATAAAGTGTTCGATGGAAACATAGCCTTAGCTCGGTGGACTCGGTGAATAGCCTCCTTCTAACTTAGAATAAGAAAACATATAAAAATCTACTTATATTTTAAAAAAATATTTCAATTTTTTTGACATATCAATGCTCCCACGCGTTGATGCATCTACCTGTATTCTTCTGCCATGGTATGGAGAGTATATTAAGTTTGTCATTCCGTTTGTAAAACCTCGAAATATACATTTTAGACCCTACAAACTATATATATTCTTGATCAGCATTAAATTCTATGTCGATTTAGCGATGTCCGTCTGTGGACATCCTAACGAAATGAAGTAGATTGATACAATTTTACTCAAATGTATATTATGTCTGCAGGACTTTTGGTATTGAAAATGGGTCATGTAGGTCCAAGTTTTGGTATAGCCTCCATATAATGACACCTCCTGATATTCGGTATTTTGATGATTTTAGCGACATTATTCACCGAAATTGTTTCAAATTTGGTAGTTGAAGTTCGTAATGGATGCTACAGCCACAGAAAGAGAAAATTGTCTGTGCAGGTCCAGGTCTTCGTGTAGGCCCCATATATCAGTACCTCCCGATACTCGGTATTTTGATGATTTTAGCTACATTATTCACCGGAATTGTTTCAAATTTGGTATTTGAAGTTCGAAATGGATAATAAAGCCTAAGACAGAAAATTGACTGTACAAGTCCACGTCTTCGTATAGCCCCCATATAATGGTACCTCCCGATATTCGGTATTTTGATGATTTTAGCGACATTATTCACCGGAGCAGTTTCAAATTACGTATTTAGAGTTCGTAATGGGAACTACAGTGTGTGACAGAAAATTGTCTATGCAGGTCGAGGTCTTCGTAAAGGCCCCACATATCTGTACCTCCCGATATTCGGTATTTTGATGATTTTAGCGACATTATTCACCGGAGTAGTTTCAAATTAGGTATTTAGAGTTCGTAATGGGAACTACAGTCAGTGACAGAAAATTGTTCTTCGTATAGCCCCTATATAACGGTACCTCCCTATATTCGGTATTTTGACGATTTTAGGTACAATACTCACCGTTTAATATAAGTTTCGAATTTGAATATAGTAATGGCTTATTAAACAATGCCTATGAAGGTCCGCGTCGTTTAGACCCCAATACAACGGCTATATTCGGTATTTTTAAGATTTTAACAGAATTTTTAACGGATTTTATTTTTTGAAAATTGCCAGATTCGTTCCATTTGGTGGAGAATATTCAAAGTTAGGCCCGGCAGCTTTTTTACTTATTTATTGCTAAAATATTCTCGGTTCTTAAACCTACAAGAATCTACTGCTCTTGCATTTTTTTCGATATCACCACTGTGGCGGAAGTATGTATATATTTGTGTATCATACGTCCAATCATATTTACAATCCTAGTTAACAGATTCACATGAAGGTCACCACCCTATTACAACATTCTTGTGTGTCTATAGAGAGACCTCAGATGGCCTAGGCCATAAAAACTCATATGTTTAGGTTTTAGATACAAGAAATATTCTCCGGATAAGAATGTAACTGTTAGTTTATAGATATGTAATATCCTTTTTTGAACTCGTACAGTAATACAAATCACGTCCCATATTCACATTTATTTTAATTCTTAAAACCCACCTACACTCATGCACATTTAAGTTAGTGTTCCATTGAGATGCTCAATCATTTACATGGACGCTAATACCCCTTTGCTGCTTCTTCTGTCACCCTGATAAGGATTATGCAGTCAACAGTCTTTCATTGCAGGTGTGGACAACAATTGATGATGATAATAGACGGACGCACGTTACAATCGTCATATGAACATGCTTACATATTAATAACAACTACCTGATATTGGTGAATATATGTACCCCTTGCCAATCCGCCTATAACATTGAAGAAACACAGCTACCATACTATACTTGAATTTCCCCGCACACATTTTAATTACCACTCTTAACATTTGTTACTACACAAAGAAAATAGAGAAGAAGTACAAATGAGAATCAGTCAAGCAACTGCAGCGGCGGTCGTCATCGACCCACTATTATCATATGGAAACTGTACATCGGTTCAAGTGTACACACAACCATTGTGTTTTGTTGTACCTGTAAATGTACAGTAGAGAACAAAATTGTTGCAATGATATGATGGCTAGGTAGTATTTTGGTGATACAGTTTACGCGGCAAAACTATGTTCCTAGTCGTTTCGTTGCACAAAATATATTGACAGTTTTAGAAGATAACGATATTTTTTTCTTGTTATCGATTAGATTTTTGAACCAATTCCTAGTAATCAGGTATTCAATCATTATATGTTGACTTTACTTTCAGAAACTTATGTTATTCGTTGTTTATTTCTTTTTTCTCCATATTGACTAACATGTCCCAATATTTCGTACACACAGTCCCAAAATCAAAATTCCGAACTGCTTACTTCATTCATATACGAGACATTGTCACCTAGAATCTCAATACAAAAAAGGCGCCAAAAATGTCATGCAACTTATTGCTTCTCTTAAAAAAAAAACATGAATGTAATTGATCTTTCAACTATTTATATACAGCGACATAGTGGATTAAATTTCACATATTATGTTTTCTCGGAGTTTGACCTTGCAAATTTCGCCAAGAACACAGAGTCTTTCTAAATTCGTATAGGATGTACTTTATGATCAGTATATTTATATAAAAGATACAAGTCATCTGCAAACATAAACAGTTATCCATCCGTAAAATAAAACATCGAGAATAGCATCACATTTAGAATAAGTTTACATTTGTTCGAATTCGTCACCTTTGGCACGATTTATGGCCTTCAAACGGCCAATGAAACTGTCACAAGCTGCCCGAATGTTGCTCTGCGGCATTTTGGCCCATTCCCGGTGAAGTGCTTGCATGAGGTGATCGAATTCCATCACGAATAACTTTTTTTTCTGGAAAATTCTAACCAAAAAGCTTTTATACGCTTGTAAACAATATAATACGCTGTCACTGGAATAATTTTAACAGCTATCGGACGAGTGGCTTAGAAATGACAGCAGTCTAAAGTTGGTTGCAGTTTTTACATCTCACCCTGTATTTCCCACTTACCCAATTGCTTCACATTTGTTAATTGTGCCAGACTTCCCTCAGGTGACATGGGGTCTAGCACAAAAAGAACCGTTTCTGTACTGCAAAAAGTTACAAACTCTTCACTTTTTTTTAAACCGAAATAGCTCTCTCTTCTTCCATTTACATGTTCTCTTTACAAACTTTTTACATCACGAACTTGAGCGATTAAAAAGTTTCTCAAAAGTGAAGCAAAGATTTTGAAAGTGATTGAATCGACGTAGACTAGCAAGAAACGAATAAAAATCAGCTTTAATAGAACCGAATTATTCGGCAATGTTCGGAACAGTGTTGAGTGAGATCAACGGCTATATACATGACACCATTTCCGTGTGGGCTAGGATTTAGAGAGCTAAAAGATTCTTTAACAACGGGAATTTATTTATTGAATCTTATAAACACAATGATATTCTTAAAAATACTTATTTTACAAATGCAACAACACATTTGATCTGTTCCATTACCTGCAAGAATATACTTTTTTGCGATTTTCTTCGATATCATAACCCTTATGATGAAAATCGGTTATCGTTGTAAAAACTTTTACATTCTGGAAGTTCTGAAACAGAGCAATTGTTTTCTTTTCATATTCGGTAAAATTTTGTGCAACACTGTATCAAATGCTTAAACTATCGACATTTTAAAAACTTAATGACACTAACAGACTACCATATATTTATATATATATGAGTATTCATTTAATCTGTTGTTTTCATTATTGAGTTGAGGTTACCTGAGTAAAATTCGGAAACGAAAAGCAAGCAAAGCTTATCGAAAGCTTATTTTGATGTTAAATAGAACAATAAAACCAAACGATTCTGATAATGAATATCGAGGCAAACAAACAACGACCAGTACGTACAGGCATCACAACATTCCATAGCAGTGCGGATGGATTGATACTGACCGACTTGTACAATTGCCGTATTAAATATAAATATATATCCCCATTAATGATATGATATATATGTTATGATCTATATGTTTTATGAATAATAAAAGATCTCAGGGGAAAAGATAGATCAAATATAATACTTTATCAAGTGCAGGTTGTATAGTTTTAGAAAATACATTCCATTGTTGATCACTTGACTTTGTAAAGTACATATTGAGTGTATTTCTTTAATATCATTATATGAACGACCCTCTGAAATACCACCAGTCACGCATCAAATTTTAATCCACTTGTCGAGAACCCATAAGCGATTTTGAACCATCTGTGGGAAGAGAATTTTATGTATAACTATAGAGTACACACTTAATATTGCTAAATAGGGTACATACCATCGAAAATATATTCCACTACAAGCTTCTTTATTATCCTCAGTAACTGCCCTACTTTTTGATATTGCAATTATCCTATCAATTATTACTTACGACTTTTTGAAGTAATTGTATCAGCAAAGAAGAGTTGTCAAAATGGTAAAATATATTTACTATTTGGAATTTTTCCTTTTCCCAGTTTACCATTGCTATTTTATGGTACCGAGTGCAACTATGCAATTGTTATTTCTGATGTTATATTTCAAATATTTTAAATTAGAAAAAAATGTCACCTATTGTGTGATATAAAATTGAAATAAAAGAGATTCCCTCCGCAAAAAAGCTGCTACGAAAGTTGTACAAATCATACAATCATTTTTTTTTTTCATTCATCAAACTTACCCCGCGCCAACATACCTTCCTACAAACCGCCCGCAAACCATCATCATGAAATAATGCTATACTGCCGGCCGGTCGCATTAATGTAAACCCTACATTTTAAGCGCTTTTAACCAGAATGGACACATTATTGAAGGCAAAGTAAGATGAAAGATGTCCAAGCAAAATGACAAACATTCACATCCATCTATTCATCCATTGATCCAACCAACCAACCACCTTCTTCTACTAATGCTAGACGTACAGTGACTGTGTACATTTAACGTCAATACAATTTTCAAATTTACCGCCAAACATCATTTTCCAATCTCTGAGCCAACTGTACTCATGAAACCCTAGCAAATTTTGTATGAATTTACTCAAGAAACCCATTTGCCTGGTCATTTTCTGGGCCAGATTTGATCAGATTTTCTCAAAAGACCTCTCAAAATAAAGAGCGAATTTTTCTGCTCCCCATGAGGTCAGTTCGGGCGGGATCCAAATACGGCGAAGGTCCCAAATCGGGTCAAAAGCCCCACAACCTCAAAGACTTTGAAATTCAGCATTTCGTTATACGGTCACATTAACTTTGCAATGGAAAAGACGCCTTCAGTCGATTACGGACATTCAACGGGTACACATCTCTTGGTGGTTGAAAACGAAGCTAACTACACGCGTCGTTGTTCATTGTTTTCTACCAAAAGACCTCAAGCAAGCGAGCGAGCATTTTTCTCTGAAGCGAAAACGATTGTTTTTGCATGAACACATAGCCACATTATAAAAACAGAAACAGATTGCAAACATTTCAAGAGTACATTTAGCCGCAGCCAGCCATTCATTCATTCACTCAGCTACCTACCTACCTAACAGATTGTTTTGTGTGTGCACCACTAACAACTGAACAACTAGCCACCACATAGAGCTGACATTAGAGGGATAGAGAGGCAAATATAGGTGGCTTGTTGTGCGCTCATACCCCCATCTACACTGAGTAGAAAAAGTCTTTCAATACTTAAATACACACCGCTAACGTAAAAGTTAAACAGTGTGTCTGTGTTGCTCGTTGGGTACGGTTCTCGGTGCGAGGAAATCTGTAAAGAAAATATTCAAAAATAACACAAAATATTTCAAAGCGAAATATTGAAAAATATAAAACAAAAATTTTTGTAATAAAATTACAAAAAGTGAAGCATACAGCCAAGAAATATAACAGAAGTTATATAATTTGAAATTTAAAAAATATTTAAGTTTTAAATAAACAAAAATAAAACACATCATGTCTGCCGCCACAGAACAACAAAATAACGGTGATGTCGCTGTTGAGAAAGTTGCCGCCGATGCAGTTAAAGAAGATTTAAAATCAAAGAAACCTGCCGTTGTCGATAGCAAACCCGCGGCGGCTGATAATGGAACAGCGTCAAAGGATGAAGCAAATGATGAGGATGATGCCGCACCCGCAAAAGAACAAGTTAAAGGAACAAAACGGCCTGCCGAAGTAAGTATTGACCAAATGTCCTTTAAAATATCCTGTTATTAACAAAAATAGGTAATGACCCCGTGTATAACATTTGTAGTGGCAAAACAAGACCTCAATTGATTATCGTTTTTAATTACTTGTCTCTGATAACATTCTAGAATTGGGGTGGTGTAGCGCTGTGGGTATATAGAGACAAACAAGCCAGCCTGACTGCTGCTGCTTGCCTATCAAGTTAGCAAACAAGCCTGAAAAAGGTGGTTTTGGTGCCAGATATCAGTCTATGGGAGGAGAGTACAGAAGAACAAGAGTGTAGAATACTTTTAGGACATTCATCGTAAGCGCGCGCATTTTATCCCGTTTCTTTACTCGGCTACTAACATCTTTATATAAACATTACAAATGTTGAAGGAGAGATGCTTTACGGTTGAGATTTGTGTGTACCTACATACCACAACCCGCCTATCTCTGACAAGGATACATCATCTGATTCCTTCTAGAAAAGGATGTTTTCATGGAATTTAAAAGAATATATTTCTCTTGATAAATTGAATACAAATTATTCAGTCAGTTTCACTAGAAATTCATTCATTGCAAATGATAGCCATCATTTTATCCGGCCCACTTATAATAGTACACACACAGGCACATTTTATACTGTAAACGACAGCGTTGAATGTATACATAAACACTTGTATTAAGAATACAAACCATGCACTAACAGCGACAGCAATTAAGAATATCAAGCGTTACCAACATGTAGGATTTTTTTTTTCAAAGGAACCGGCCGGCAGCTCTACTTTTATAATAAAAAAATCTACTTTTAAAATAGCTACATGTCCGGTTCCAAATGTGAAAAATATTTCTCACAATTTGTAGGAACCTATCAGTAAAATTTTGTATTCTGGGAAATTCCACTTTAGAATAGACATTGCTTTTTCATAATTGTCCTAGTTAGAAAGAGTAACGTTGTTTTGATTTAAGGTTTATTAATTTTTCACGACATCATTAAGTTTTATATTTAGGCGCTCTTTGATCATTTGCGCACACATACGAATGAACACGTTTCATTTCGTAGTAAATACAAAAGCATGGTAAACTCTACATGTACAGTCTCTGGTAAATATAGCAGAGGGACGCCGCCACCATACACTCTCTTTTTGTTTTTTGTTTTCTCGTTTTGCTATATTTTTTTTTTGTTATTCACTTGTTTTCTTTTTGTACACATACACACAAACTCAAAACAGAAACTTGAAAATGTGAATTAATTTTCTGTTATTTTTTTGGTTTTGTGCAATCAAAATTTTATTTGAAATTTATAATTTATTGTTTTGTTTTAAGAGCAGAGTGATATGACGAATGCACTCATTTGTCAAGCTGGGTGAGAGATATAGGAGAGAGCAATACAACAAGAGATAACAATTGAAAGACAACAATTTGTAAACAAATAATTGTGGGAGCTCTTTCAAAGTATAAATATCCCACTCTCTCTCACCTCTTGGCATTCATTGCACTTAACAACATTGCAATAACAAGGCGCGCACACACTGTAAACAAAACGACGATACATAACGCCGTCGCCGCCAGAGTTGACGACGGCGTCGACGTTTATATACAATGAATGATGCCTAACGTGCAAATGTGATGCATGCACACGAATACATATGTATATATGTGTAGTATATAGCCGGTGTCTGCTGCTGTAACATCGCCCTATATATTTTATGCGTTATTTCTCTTGCGCTATTTCCTTTAGATGATTGTGCCATTTTCGTTAGTTTCCTTTTGTGTATTTGGCTATCATATTTTCTTGTGTTCTCATGCATGCATACAAGTGCATTTGTTTGTGGGCAGGCAGCAGACAAGGGATGTAGTAATAAAGGGATTGAGCAAAACATCAGAATGTACGAGAAGAAAACAATTTTAACGTAAATTTAACCGCGAGTCGTCGTCGTCGGTTAATTCACCCTTAAAACACATCCGCACAATTTACAACAGAGGAAGTTGAGAAATGTTTGCGGCTATTGTTTATTCTGTTATAAACACAAAATGTTTATGTCTGTTAACCAGTAAATAGTGTGTTGTATTTTTAGTGTTAGCTCGGAGAGGGTGTTAAATGTCTACATTCAAGTACAGTTTGCTGAGCTGTGTAGCGATAAAACTCTAGTTCTTTCAGATTGTTATGAACATAAATTATCGAATTAAACTATGAACGTTGTTTACATTATCTTCGTATTGGAGATATTTATGTAAGACACGTACGTACCTATAAAAGACAAACGTTAGAGCATGTTAAAATACTAACGTTCTAAGTCTTAAAACTACCATTGTTATTTTTATGTTAAAAAATATTAGAGGTATACAAATTGAGAAAATCTGCAAGGGACCAAAAAAAAGGTTTACGCTTTTATATACTCTCATGCGAAACTAAAAATATGCCGTACAGGGGTTATTATCTTCAGTTTAATTGAAACAAAGCTTCGTTAGTTATATATTTTTTCTTAAGTATTTGCGTGGTTACTAATTCTTTCATTCTTGTTTCCAGGCTAAAAACTCTGAATCAAAGAAAGCCAAGAAAGACAAACCAGTTGATGGCGATTCTGATGATGAAGAAGTAATAGATGAAGAGGGCAATGAAGGTGACAGTGATATCGAAAGTGATGAATATGATATCCCATACGATGGTGAAGAAGATGACATAGAATGTGAAGGTGAGTTTCGTATAATATAAAATATATAATTTCAATACACCTATAAGAAATTTAAAAAAAAAAAAATAATAATAAATAAATAAATTATGTACCTTCAACTACCATTTACTAATTTAATTTTCCAATTTCGTTTCAGATGAAGATGATGAAAATGATGATGGTTCGGGTTCTGATGACCAAGCGTAATAATAATAAAGTAGTCAAAACATCTTAAATTAATAATTATTGCAAAAGAAACAAAAAGAATCAACAAAAATCGCAAAACACACTAACAGTTTAAACAAAGAGAAACAACATTTTAAAAATATATATACACTATATATATTTTTATGTTAAGAAATAATTTTATTTCTTATATTTAGTTTGTATTGTGTATGAATGTGTATTTCATTCTGTTTTTTATATAAACATGAGCAAAAACCTACTTTTTATTTCGACAAGAAAAAAAGGAGAACAGAACCACATTTGATTTTTCTTTTTTTTCGCTCTATAATATATATGTTTAAGTCATCTTTTTTATATATTATTTAAAATTATATATATAATTTAAACATAAACAACTTAAAATGAAAAAATACAAAAAGTAAACACAAAACCATTAATTAAGCATTAGACGTTATATCTGTAGCTATAAAAAAGAGAAGAAAGAAAAAATACAAACAAAAAGTATTTAAATAAAACAAAATTATAAAAAACCAACACACACTTGTATTGTTGTATGGGTATTTTTTTTTTGTCTGAATAAGGAAAATGCGATTTTCTTTGTACACTTTGCACACACATATCCCCTGATTTTGTGTATTGGGTGGATGGATGTGTGTAAACGTAATTTTTTCTATGACGAAATATTCATTGTAAGAATGAAACATTTTCGATTTTTTTTCTTTGCAGTCACAATTAGTAATATTTTTGTGTGTGTACAGATTCAGCACGTTTTTCTCTAGAACAAAATTATTATGAATTGACTCACAAATGTAAATATAATTTTATTTTTGATGAAATATTCATTTTGAAATAAGACATTGTCTTTATATAGATTAACGAAACGAATGCCCAAGGTATTTGCAATATTAAATGAAATACAATTACTTTCGGGGCTTTCGTTTTAAGCATAGAAGACCAGACACAAATTAAATATAAATTCACAATTCTTCTAAAGATGGGCAAAATATATTTATAAGTATAGGCAATTGTATATAAGGCTTTCAGTTTAGAGGAGTAGAACAATTTTCTGCTTGCTAATAACGGAAGTTTCAAATTTGTCCTATATTCGGGATTTCACACATAATTCCTTTTCATATAGGGTGAGATGAAAAAACTGCAACAAACTTCAGACTGATGTCATTTCTAAGCCACTCGTGCGACAGTTGCCAAAAATGGTAATAAAATGAGGTTCCTCGCTTCATTTCCAGCGCACAATGGCCACCAAAATCTCCGGAAACCAATCCGTTGGACTATTGTGTCTGGAGTATTTTGGAAAGCAAGGTTGGCACTAAAAAATACCAAAGTGTCGATCACCACAGGCCATAATTTGTGCCAAAGTTGACAAATTCGAACAAATCTAAACTTATTTTAAAATTTGCTGCTATTTCCGAAACTTTTTGCTTTCATTCAATAAAATTTGAGAATAAAAATGTAATAATTATGGCGTTTGACTTTGTGAAAAACCCTAAATAAAAGCAATTTTTTTTTTGATTTCGATTTTTGTACCTTTTAAAACTACGTCATCTTGTATTTATAATGTACATAATGAGGAAAATCTAGGTTATATCAAAACCAATTTATATTGTACGGATTTAAGAGCTTTAGTGAATCTCCGACGTGGCTATAAGAATCCTATATATTCAGTATCAGTAACGATTTTTTTACCTCTTACATGTATCTTCACTGGTGTTTCTCAGTAAAAATACTTTAAATGTCATCTGTCCTCGTGATGTCTTAATATTTGATACGACATCTTGCAAAGTATCTTTTAAAGTTTCATATCTAATATACCTATACATTTACCTATGTAATTCTTTTCTAAAAATAGTTATAAAATTTATATTATTCCATAGGCATACTCAAATTTACTTAAACAAGTGGGTTCATGATTTCAATATTCAGTGTATACACACATCGTGGCATGTATGCCAGTGTGTGCATATTGATACAATAAGTAATCAATATTTACGGCAACGATAAGGCATATTAAATACTACACACCCGTCAATAAACCCCCACACAAACACACTAAGGACACGACATTAAACAGTTAATACCTAAATCACCATTATCATTTTCTACCCCATACCACAGCAGATTCGTTGTTTGTTCCTACATAAAATGGGGATGGAAATGTGGTGGTAATTTATACGTGGTGAAAATAGAAGCCATCATATGTACACGTTGTAGGCTGTGTATGAGGTGATGTTATGTACAGTTCCACTTTTCAAGGGATAAGTTGGAAAACAAAAACTCGGCTTAATTTGAAGAAATGAAATTCATTTGGTCAATGTTGGTAATATTTTTTTGTTTTATACCTTTCTTTAGTACCGGAACATAGTGTCAATTTTCAACTAATGGAAATATCGAAAATAACCTTTTGCAGCCGTTGCTAAATATTTGCACACAACGGTATAGATACAGCATAACCGACCGGCCGACCAATAAATATAACGACAGCTGTTACCGTTCTAACGATAACCAACCAATCTGTATTCAATCAAAAATAAAGGGATTTTTTCACAACACTGTTTACCGCCATGGAATGGAAGGTACAGTTTTAGTGGGAAAATACAAGCGGACAATCGGCATGGATATTTTTGTCGTTAATACAGCTGTCGATTTGGTAAGCGTTCTATGCTAGTCAAACGCACACATACTCAACAAAAATAGGGTGAGTGACTAAGGAACATATTCAGGAATATTCACAACATAAAGGTCAGGTAAAAGGCATTTGTACAAGGTTATTAGGCAACGATTGCACCTCTCCTCGCTGAAGGTCAGAAACATTTGGTAAAGAAGAAAATGGAAAATATTTATTGGGAATTGTTGTACAGTAGGTGCGTGAAATGCGTGTTTTCATAAAACATTCCTCAAAATATTGGTGAAAAAAGGACACTTAAACGCCCACAAATAAAAAATACAACAACAATTTAATATACATAAATAGTATGTATGTATGAGGATGTTGTGTATTGAAACGATGACCTAAAACTCTATCCATCCATGGATATTCAAACTGTACATTGTTGTTGACAATTATTTTCAATTAATTAAAGAATGATTTAGGGGGGAAATTCTAAACGCAAGCTTAAAAAACCTATTTGTTTTCTAGATAAATATTAATTATAATGAACATGGTACAGGGTGATATAAAAAACTGCAACAAATTCAAACGCCATCATTTTTACATTTGTTTTTAAATTTTTTGGATGAAAGCAAAAAATTTCGAAAATAGCATCAAATTTTAGAGTAAGTTTAGATTTGTTCGAATTGGTCAGCTTTGGCACGAATTTTGGCCTTCAAACGGCTAATAAACCGTCACACGCTGCCCGAATGTTGCTCTGCGGCCCATTCTCGGCAAAGCGCTTGCTTGAGGTGATCGACACTTTGATATTTTTTAGTGCCAACCTTGCTTTCCAAAATACTCCAGATACAATAGTCCAACGGATTGGTATCCGGAGACATTGGTGGTCATTGTACGCTGAAAATGAAGCGAGGAACCTCATTTTGTAACCATTTTTGGCTGGCGCGTGCTGAGTGCGATGGTGCTGTCCTGTTGAAATGTCCAAGGTCTGAGGCCAAAATGTTTGCGTGCCCAAGGCTTTAATACACCCTCCAGAATATTTTCGCCATAATATTCGGCATTTATTCTGTATATACATATATATTTATGATACACGCTTCCATGCAATGAAACCCCCAGATTATAAGGTTTCTTTCCAAATTTCCATCCAAATAGCCGATATTCTTCGCGAAAAATGACAAGTAAATAAGCACCTAAATTCGCCAAACCGAACCTTTAATACACTCAAAAATTTAGATGGAAATCGCAAGAAACGAGTCCGTTGAAAAATACTGTTAACATTTTAGAAATTCCGAATATCAGGTCTTACAGTTATGTGGGATTGTAAGAAAACCGGTGCCTCTTACGAACTCTGAATTCCAAGTTTGATTCCGAATATAGGGAGGTATCGTTATACGGGGGTTATCTCTGTGTGAATGTATTATCCATTACGAACTCCAAATACCAAATTTGATACAATTCTGGTGAAAAATGTGACACAACTCATCAAATTAGCGAATATACAGTTATATGGGGACCATACTAATTCTAGGCAAATATGTTTACTACATATAGGTAACATAAACTGAAAATGTACATCAAATTCTGTTCAAAAACGTGACTTAAACAGCCAAAACAACTTAAATCTGGTGGTAAATTTACATGGGGGCTATATCAAAATGTAGACCTATAAAGCCCATTTTCAATACCTAAAATATATCTCAAGAAAATTGTATCAACCTACTTCATTTTGTTCTGAAGATCGAGTGATTGCACAAACTTAACTTACTGAAGAGTATAAAAACAGCAGGTAGTGCTTCCTTGATTCTTGTCCACATTGTTCTTAGACTGGGCACATGTATTGTAGCTTGGAAGCTTTGAGTCATATTTTTATATGAGTTCGACTTAAGCCGCATCCGCCCAGTTGTGTAGATTTAAATTTATGAAGACCAGAAAGAAAAATACCGCGCAGGAAAAATCTGAATATCAGGCCGAAGGGCGTCTACTTAAAAAAATATTCAATTTAGTCCGTGTTGGCCATATCTTAGAAGATAAAATAATAAGCCGCGCCCAAAGGGCCGCTACTTAAAAATATATTTAATTTAAATATAATTTGATTCGCGTAGCCGGTGTTGGACACATCAACCGTAAAAATATGTTGCACCAATTTTGAAATGTATTTCGGAAGCATTCAAATTAAGGAAATTAAGAATTATAATTTTCATAAAAATACTTACATATATGACAACATTTTAAAATTCGTGGATATTTTGTTTTAACAAATTATGGCATTTTCGGCAATATCTTTATGAAGACGCCTCCAAAGAATTTCTACGAAATTTGTTCACTTTTTAACAAACACAGCCGTATTTCGTAATGAACACAACTACAGAACAAAATGAACACAGCTAAATTGCTTTGTGTTCAGTTAGTATTGTGGCCGTTATAACTAGTTACTAGTTGGTTTTTGTTTGTCCTTCTTGACTTGATTAATACATTGTAACGTTGTAGCATCCAAACAGAAAAAAATGTATTTATATAATATTAAATTTCAAAACATAGTATACCACATGGTACAATAAAAAGGTAAGGCAGATACCAGCTGATTAAATTTTTTTCTAAGTGTGCCCGACTTCTGCCAATTTGTGTATGTATTTGTTGTTTTGAAAAATGAAAACAAAATATTTTCAAGACCAATGATTGGAAGACAGGTACATTGCGGTTCGCGTATTAAGGATATCAACCAGTTTGGCCATGAAATCGAAAGATTGAACAGTTTGAATCATATTTTTGAGAGAAAATCCAGACATTTAATTAATTTTTCGCGCTATTAACTCATTTTAAAAATTAGGGAATATATGAAAAAAAAAATGAAAAAAAAACTTGTATATAATTTTGAATGAATCTGACAGGAAGCGGGCATAGCCTCTGGGCTGTAATTCTGTAGTTTTACGAAGCTCTTCTACATCCTTATTGTACCATGGTATACCATAGGTTTTTGTGCATTTTGGTTTCAATTTGATAGGAATGTTACCTCCCCCACCATTTCCTAGTGACTGCTTGAAATGTTTCACGATTTTTTCCTACAGCTAGCCACAATGCATTTAGGGAAATTTGGCAAGCTTTAAAATTAAACATTTTAATAATTTTCATGCAGCATTTTCAATTGAATAATTCAAATTTCAAAAATGTAAATATCTGAAATTAAAATAATTTAATAAAAATTAATTTTGTTTACATTCTTGGATACGTAACAGTGCGAATACCGTTACTTACATTCATTTCTTAATTGGTTTTGAATTGTATTTGTTGTAGTTTTGTTTCTACCCTCTAAAATTATACCATGTATTTTTCTACCATGCAACTGGAAGAAAAGATGGGAACTAAGAACAAAAAAAATGAAACGGCTGAATTTAGTTCCGATAGTCCCAGTCATTGAACCGTTCCTCTGAACTATACTGCTCTTGTGTTTTTCATTCTGAAACTTTTCAACAACATTCCATTCCATCCAAAAAACAATGGATAAAGACTCGGATAGCACGGTCACATCGCTGGACGAGAACACCGAGAATTTTTGCAGTAATCAAACGCGAGATATTCTAGCAGAAGGCATTTTAAATCATTTCAAACCTGTTGTGGAGAAATTGGATGAACGTATACAGGCTACAAGGCAGGCTCAACAAGAACTAAAGACACAATTGGATAGTTTGTCAGCCCAATTGAGGGATATTGAGAAAGCTCAACATAATATTCCTGAGTTTTCCGATAAAGTTAAGGAATTGATAAACGTTAAACACAAAGTGACGGTCATTGCGAATATTCTTATCAGTAGTCAGGAGCGTTTGGCAGGTCTGCACAAACTAATAGAAAAGGAGCAAAGGAGAAGGCAAGCTCTCCTGGATTCAGCCATAAGTACAAATATTTCCTAGATAAAACTAAGGAAATCACAACACCACTAACCAAAGCAATATTTAACGGAAACGACAAGAATATGGATACGCCACATATCGACCATTTAACTTCTCAGGATTATGATCATGTTTATGAACCGGCCGAAGATTCCTTTCTATTACTGGATGCACTGGAAGCAGATTTGGAGTTTATAGAAAATGAGCTGAAACCTGTGGTTTGCTTGGAAATAGGACCCGGAAGTGGTATAATAATAACAGCTATTGCCAAACGACTGCAAAACACAATATGCATGGCCTGTGATATAAACCCATACGCTTGTCGTGTTACAAAACGTACTTGCCTACGGAACGAAACCCATGTAGAATGTGTACGGGGTAGTTTAACAGATGCCTTTAAACCAAATGCAATAGATCTATTGATCTTTAATCCGCCATATGTGGTGACAGCAGATAATGAACTTGAAACGTCTGATAAATTTGGTGAATGTACAAGTGGTAATCTTGTACATTCTTGGGCTGGTGGTAAACATGGTAGACGAATTATAGATATTTTATTGCCGCAACTGGATCATATACTATCGGCGAAAGGAGTTTTCTACTTACTGCTGCTGCGTGAAAATAAACCTGACGAAATAATGGAACAATTGAGACAACTCGGATTTCAAAGTAAAAAATTTATGGAGCGACGTATACCGGGAGAATTCCTGTATATTTTGAAAGTACAACGCTTGGATTCGTAGTGTAATGATAATTGTTTAAAACATCCAGTGCGTGATTTTTTGAAATAAAATTGTAAATTGATTAATATAAAATTTGGCTATTGTAGACATGGCACAATAAAAGGTGTTAAAATAAAGCTAACTTTAAAAAGCAAGTTTTTCATTGGATTCGAAATAGAAGTCCGCTGGACTTTTTATGAATTTAGGATATTTAAGTTAAAGTGTGCAAAGAAGTAAATTTAACAGTTGATTTACTTACAGTTTGCAGATTCCATGGTAGAAGAATACTGGTAAATGCAACAACGCTAGGACGCGTTGATCTGTCAAATATGTTTTGTCGAAAATAAGTAAATTTTTATATGTTCTCTTATACGACGAACCAAACGGAGGTTGTCATGATATTCATTTTTCAACAGATTTTACACATTTCAATAATTTTTCATTCAAAATTTTAAATACCAAAATTGGTTTGACAGTTTTTTTGTCCCATCAGCTGTGTCGATGCGACTATCTGTATTATTCTACCATGGCAGTTTCGTAATGTTTAAAAATTGTTGGCAACAAACATGGCCTAAAGGTCGGCCAGTAAGCCCATCTGACAAGTTTGCTGTCAAAAGACATATTAGGTGTGTCTGGTTACCCTAAAATTTGTAACAATTGTTGCAAATTGTTACTGGAAGTCGTCTGTTAACACAAAAGTTCTGCAAAAGAGCGCCGTTCGAGAGAGTTGTTTTCTGAGAACTTGCAAATTTCTTTGTGCAAATATTTGCAATTCTTCTGCATATTTCGGCAAGAAACATTTTTAATTTAAACGTAAGCACAATTTGTTTTTTATTTTTCGATTAATTTTTAATTTTTTCGTTCTTGATAAATCAGGTGATCGCTTGCAAGTTTTTGAAGGGATTCCGTCTGTTTACTTTCCGCAGGAGAATAAAACTACCTCACTCTCTCAGAAAGAAGTTGGTGGACCATTCCTGCAGAAAAATTACAATTTGACCCAATAAGACTCCTATTATACCACAATTTTCACTTTTTGTTACAAAAAGGAGGTAACACATTTTTGCAAATTCTGTTAAAATACAACCCTGATGTCATGTCCTCTTTGCGTCAGAATTATTAGAAAAACATCTCAACTCTCGTTTTTTCGCAATTTCCGAACGCTATATCTCTGGAATTATTGATTTCCTAAAACAGAAGAAATGCCGATGTTATGGTAGACATGCGGTAAACATTTTGATTTCATTCCCAAAATTTGGCAAACGATTGTTTGTGTTTGCCAAGCCACTTTATTTCTTTCAGTCAACCAAGACAGCATGACACCATAAAGAATCGATAATTCATAAAAAATCGATGACATAAACGAAAATATATCGGGATTTTTTTTATCCCTAGGGGGAAGAAGAAGACCTAACTCTGACAGCTACAGCTAAAAACGACAAGTTCCAGAACGAGAAAATTTTAAGTTTTCCCCCTAGGTTTTGTGTTTGAAATATATGTAGAAATTAAAAAGGTAACATAGATATTTGACACATTAAAAGTTCAACAAGAAACTATGATGGAGACAGCGCCCACCGCTGATTTGGTATATCAGGGAATATGTACACTCTTCCACAATCAGAATCCCAAGGAAAAGGAAAAGGCCAACAAATGGCTGGAAGAGTTTCAAAAATCGGTGAGTTAGATCTTTTCTGGGTGGATAAAAGAAAAGTGTATTTATTCTTGAAAATATGTTCTAGATTTACTCCTGGACAATAGCTGATGAATTGCTGCAACAAAAGAGAGATTTGCACTCATGTTACTTTGCTGCCCAGACAATGCGCAACAAAATACAAAATTCTTTTAATGAATTACCATTGAATTCACACGAATCATTAAGGGATTCGTTGATTGCGCACGTAGGACAAATCACCAATGACACGGATACAATTATAGTGACTCAGCTGTGCTTGGCCGTTGCTGATTTGGCCCTTTTAATGGCCTCATGGAAGCAGCCCATAATCGATCTGTTGGATATGCTTTCGCCACAACCTCAATCGGTGTGGCCGCTGTTAGAAATTTTAACCGTGATACCGGAGGAAATTGATTCACGATATCTACGCTTGGGGGCTAATCGCCGTGAGGAGATTCACAAGCAGCTGGATGCTGCTGCACCCAAAGTCATGGATTTTCTTTGTATGTGTATGCAACAGCATGCCGGTGAAAGTGTTGTTCAAGAGAAAATTGTGAATTCAACATTGCGGTGTTATTGCGCATGGGTGGCAATTCAAGCTATTCCACTCCAGCAGGCGGCGCAAAATCCTCTCACTCAGCAAGTATTTCAGTTGCTTAGCATGGAGAATACATCACGTAAATTGCACGATTCATCGACTGAGTGTCTGTGTGCTTTACTGAGCTGCATGGAGGCCAATAGTGGGCGTGACACCCTGGATCCGCAATTGAAAATGCAAATCTTTAATGCCGTCTTTATGCTAGAAACATCCTACCACACATCGGTGGGCATGGAAGATATCGATAAAATTATGAACTATTGCCGCATTTTCACTGTGCTCTGTGAAGCATTTTTCTATGAAATGTTTGCCAACGAAGATATACCTCATTATTCCATTAAGGGTTTGGATTTAGTGCTCATCTGTGTGGGCCATTATGACTACGAAGTGGCGGAAATTACCTTTAATCTTTGGTATCGTTTGAGTGAGGAGCTCTTTCAGCGGAATAACGATAAGCTGACTTCGCATTTTAAACCACACATAGAACGATTGCTGGGTGCTTTATATCGTCTGACACAAATGGAACCTGATCAAGAAGGATTGATTGATGAAAATGACAGTTTTAATGTGAGTGAGCTGGGCAGACAAGAAATAAGTTAAGAAATAGTTATTAATTATTAGTTTTGTTCTTTTAGGATTTTCGACGAAAGGTTTCTGATCTAATCAAGGATGTTGCATTTATTGTGGGGTCTGGAAATTGCTTTAAACAAATGTTTTACAAACTCCAGGAGCCCGGCTGTACATGGGAATCAACTGAGTCTGCACTATTTATTATGCAAAATGTAGCCAAAAATATTATACCGTAAGTAATGAACCCCACCCCGTGGCGGATCACTTGATTAATGACAACTTATTTTGTTTAGTGATGAAAATGAAGTTATACCCAAGGTTGTGGAGGCAATTATAAATCTTCCCGAAAATACCCACATAGCAGTACGATACACCTCAATTATGTTGCTGGGTGAACTGTGTGACTGGATAGAAAATCATGCAGAAAGTTTACAGGCTGTTTTGATTTTCCTATTGAATTCGTTGCAGCAGAAAAATGGTTTGGCAGCTGCAGCGGCTATTGCATTGACCTCAATTTGCGCATCGTGCCGCCAGAAAATGATTTATCACATAAGTGGTTTAGTGGAAATAGCTAGAAGTTTAGATAGCTTTGAAATCAGCAACGACTTGGCAATTGGCCTGCTAAAAGGCATATCATTAATACTGTCCCGTCTGCCGAAACAACAGCTGGAAACTGCAATGCGAGAAATCATATCATTCCAGTTCCAGCCCTTGGCCATCATGGTGGAAAGCACTGCAACGGCGCCCATTTGTAAGGGCGAACGTACAGATCCTGCGTATTGGGTGGACAGGGCATGTGCAGTAATACGTCATACCAATCCTGATGTTAGCGACAATGAAATCCATCCCACATTGAATATACTCACCGAAGCTTGGCCCTTGATATCGCGAGTAATGGATAAATATCAGAGAGATGTACGTGTCATGGAGCGAACTTGTCGTCTAATACGCTATAGTGTGCGCATGGTGCGTAAACAAGCCTCAATGTTAGTTGAACCTCTCATCCATCAAATGGTCACCTTGTATGCTATGCATCATCACAGTTGCTTCCTGTATTTGGGTTCGGTATTGGTTGATGAGTTTGCCAAGGTTGAGGATTGCATTAATGTGTTATTGGTAATGCTGAAATCGTTTATAGAGCCCACCTTTAAGATGTTGCAAGTGGAGAATGGCTTGAAAAATAATCCCGACACTGTTGATGACTTTTTCCGTTTGTGTTCGCGATTTATTGATTGTTGTCCTTTGCCATTTTTGCAAAGTACGTTGGTAACGCCAATCTTCCAATGTGCCCTACTGGCATGTACTCTGGATCATCGTGAAGCAAATTCATCTGTAATGAAATTCTTTTGTAACTTATTAAAATGGGGACGTAGCAACAACTACAAACTACAGGAATGCAAACCCCTGGTTCGAGAAATAGCCGAGCAGAATGGTGAAGCCCTAGTTATTAACTTGATACAGGCATCAGTGTTTTGTTTGCACTCTTATATGCTGCCTGATGTTGCCGAAGTCCTGACCGAGCTAAAGGATGTTATAAGCCACGAACAGATGGAGGCTTTGCTGAAAGTTGCACTACAAAGTTTGCCAAAGAAAAACAGTGGAGGCTATGTGACAGCCACAGACGCACAATTATTGGATTTCCAGGAGGCGGTTATGAAGTAGGTTGAAATCAATCGAATTAAATACTTGAATGTTTTGCTAATCCCTTTTAATTCTTGCAGGTCAACAACAACTAAATCCGTAACCTTGGCTTTGAAAACCTTTACAAGATTATATCGCTGAAAATATTTTGCGAGAACATAAGTATGTCTATTTGGCCCACATATGGACTGTAACTCCACGACGCCCCCTCCCCCTAAATTTTAAAATTTGAAAAATGAAAATTACCATCATCAATGCTACTCATTCATTTCTCAATAGTAATTTATATATTTGTAAATGTTTAGTTATACTCTTCTTCTAATTTTATTTTAACAAAATATGTAATTTGTTAAAAACATTATTTTTTTTAAGAATCCAAACTACCGTCAAAGTAAATGTAATACGTTTATAATTGTAAGTTATGCAGTGTTTTTTAAAAACCAATTGAAACGATGTAAAATGAAGAAAAGCATAACTATTTTTAATAGTATGTGTGGAAATCTAAAAACAAAAATGGAATCTTTTAAAATACCATAGAACGGAGATTTTTTGAAGCAATTACAAAAAAATACAGACCTATTAAATTTTTAGTTTTAAATTAAAATAGAAAAATACTATGGAAGCAGATAAGTTAATGTGTTAATAAAATGGCATCGATTGAAAAAAAAATGATCCAACAAATAGTGACAAATGTTACAAGTGCACACAATTGTTGTTTTAAAATATGACACGCACGTGTGAAAGTATAATAAAAAGAAGAATGCAAAGACTTGTTTAAGACTGTGCGGTATTTTAATTTATTGCCATATTAATTGTTGTCTCAACAGATATACTTAAAGCATTGAGTATTGAAATATTGAATTGTGGAAATATGGATAATATGTGCGATGTGGGGTTTAACGTGGGCCAGCTGATGCTGCCTGGGCTGCCGACATGGGTGGTTTAATGCCCATGAGTTCACACAGCTGATTACGTATGGGTCTGACCTCTACCAGTGGCATGCCCCAATCAGTTTCGGAAAGCAAATTTAAAATTTCATCCATATTCTCTTCGCTTATCTCACAGACATCACCATGCAGGGCCAGGGCCTCGTACAGCTTAGTGGCAGTTCTTTTGCGTATGTGAACATGGGTGAGTCCAAGAAATACTGACATTTTCGAGAGGACTTTTTTGCACAATCTTGGCACCTGTACCAATTGTGAATAGACATTAATGCTGGATACCAATTTATAGAGTTTCTTATGGCCCTTTATTTCCAAATTCAGCAGACGATAAATGTCTTCAGCAAATGTTGACGAGTCATCCAATAATATTGCATTGATGGAACCTGTAAGTAAAAAGAGAAATTGTCATGAAAGTCATCTTAATATCAAATTTGATTCTTTTACCTGATGCAATAACAATATCCAAGAAATTCAACATTGGATATGTCACACGCTCCTTAAGAAGATTTTCCTCAAAATTCATCACAATCTCCCTACACAGTCTTTCAATGTGTCCCGTATGAGATCTCAGGAATTGAAACAATGCTCCCGAAGCATATTTTATAAGAGATTCAGTCAATTGGCCAATACTTGCACTAAGGCCCAACAAAATCCGCTGAGAATATTCGGAGAATTCCAGCAGTGAACAAAACAAGGGGAATGTGTGATCGGCAAACAACCATAGCACTGAATTAACATCTTCGGGGAAAATTTCTTTCAATTTGTCGTGCCGATGAATGTAGGGTACAGGCGGTTCTAAGTGGATCATTTGACAGAGAAGACGACCAGCCAAACCTCTGGTACGATCGATTTTTTCAACAGCTTGTTGCATGAACCCCACAACGATTTGATGAATTTGTTGGGGCTCTAAGATATCCTTGGGACACATTTTTATCAATTCGAAAATTGCTGCAAATAAGTTACTTTATTAAAATTTTATTTATAACAAACAATTAAAATATACCGCTCATAGCTGCTTCTCTAACCCAGGCACCAATATCGCCACGATTATCCAAAGTATATTCATCCATGGCTTTTAAATAGCAATCAATTACCCTTGTGAGATATTTCAAATTAGCAAACGAAACTGAAAATAAATTTCACATTTAAATGAAATATTAACTAAAGTAAATGGTTAATACTTACCTCTGGTATCCTGTTCAAAGCCCACACTTTTCACAAGGTTACACAGTGCCTTGACGCTGTCACGACGTGCTTCACTCCAATCTTGAGTGCTTTGAGCTTCTTGTTCTTTGACGGTTTCGCCCACACAAATGGCTTGATATGGTGTCAACGAGTGTTTTATTAAACTTTCAAGAATGTCATCGAACAGGGGTGTAACCATGAAGAGCGGTAACACACCCAATGCACTTAAATAGCCCATGCGTATATTTTCCTCCTGATCATTGTCGGCACCTTTCAAATAAAACCTAACTATTTCATTGTTGGCCATGCTCCTCTCTGGTGTGTTATAATAAGCATCGCATAGTTTTGAAAAGGCAATAGTTGCAGATTCTCTAATGGGGGCATTTTTACTCAACAGACATTTATCAATAACATCCTGCCATGATTCTAAAGGAGAAATAGTAAAAAATCCTTTACAAAAAAGTCAACATTTTGGGCTTTGCTACCTACCCAAACATTGTGGCGTTGCCGCAACTTTGGCTGTACTGCAGTTGCGGATGAAATCGGTACAACATTGTTTCATCAGTTCGCCACTCATGCCCCGGAAAAGATCACGTTGTAAAAATTTACCAATCACTTCGTTGACATTACAGATTGTTTGATTGGAGAGCAGAGTTTGCTTCTGTTCCAAATCAAACTCCAATTCATGCAAAGCCAAGACAATTTCTCCAATTGCCAAAACACTGCCATGCCTAGTGTTGATATCGATGGAATCAGTCTTTGTAAATAATTTGTCCAACACAACATTTGCCATATATTCCGGAGCCCTGCGTGTCAATTTGTGTAAGGCTTTGGCAGTCAATTCTCTTATGGCCGTATCCCAATGATTTACTTTACGATCTATTAAATGATCGATTAATGGTTTACAATATTCCTCATATTGGGCTATGAAAAAGCTTATATTCAAATAGGAATTTTGTCTCAGGCCAACCGTATAAAAATCTGTTGTGGTGGATATTTCAATGCCATATGGGAAGTTACCAAGACGGCCAACACTTTCTTGGAAAGCAGCAGAGGCTGCTCTGCGACAATTAATTTCGCGATCAAACGAAGCCACTGTTAGTAGACCAGCCGAGACCTGTTGGGCGAAGGGTTTGAAGTCATCGGGATTGTAAGACCTGGCAAATGCCCAACACATGTAACAAGCGGAATCTCGTATATGTTGTCCCACGGACATATACCCTTTCATTTCATCGTAGAACAAAGCTTGCAGTAAAAGTGGTACCAATTCCTTTAGGCGATAAGGCAGCAAGAGACCTCTTTTGGCCAATTCAGCCAAAGCCAAACAGCCACCATGCCAAGCTTCATGTGGTTCCAAAGGATTCAATATGTCAATGACGGAACCAATTACCTCATCGGCCAATTCTTTGGATAAACGATTTGTAACTCGACCAATGCCCTTGGCAGCAGACCAACGTATGTCATTGCCACCACTACGCAGAGCTTGTAAAAGTTCTTCGATGACCTCTTCAATGGAATCGGGTACAGCAATTTCATCGTCCGTGCTCTCTTCTTCAACACTCGGCTGTCCATCATCGGTAGGACTTTGTGCAGCTGTGGTGTTTTGAGCCTGTGATAGATTTGAGGCCAAAGAACGTGTCCCCCTTTTATAACGCCATGTTGCAATGCGCGGCTTCAAATAGACCAGTCCAATCCTTTGGATAATTTTAATGTAACATTTATATTTCAAAAAATCCGAACCATCTTTATACTGGCAGCTTATTATCCATTGGAATAGCTTATCGGCATAGGGCAGTAGATCCTCTCTTTTGCCATGCTTTAATATGGCAGCAATGGCCGCCAGTTGGCCAAATTTTATGTCAACTGTATCCGATTTATGTTGTGACATTACCCATTCCAAAAATCTATCCAAATACAGCTCCTTGATGTCAGCCCTAACAAAATATTTGGCTGCCAAATAAGCAGACATGTTACTGCATGTATCATTTGTGGAGGTATACAATTTGCATAGCTCAAATATGCGTTCCATTTTCGTTTTACTTGGAACACTGTTGGTAATCACTTCACCTTCCGTTCCACCAACATTGATAGCATAGGCATCTAGCCTTGACATATGAAATGGATTCAGTACTAATATGGACATCCACAAGAGAAGCATGTAGCGCGTCTCCCAGTGTTTAAATTCCTTTGGATCTTGTTTCTCCAACAGATCCAAGGCAAACTCCAAATCACTGAGTTCATGGGGTAAGAACTTGACCAACACTTTGTAGGTACGAACTTTGCAAATGATATACAAATACTTGAAGGCAGCATGCATTAAGGGTGTTGGTAAATTGCGATCACGAATTTTCTCCAATAACTTTTGGAGCAACAACTCCAAATGTGGATCCAATAAATGGGGTTGTTCCTGATATCTTTTGGTTAAATATAAACGGTAAGTGAAAAATGAATAAAATTAGGTTCCATTGTATGTGTGCTATGTACCTGGATAGAACTTCCGTATATTGTTCATAGTTTTTTTCAAATCCAGCAGCATCTGTTCCCTGTATCGATTCGATCATTTTCAATACTTGCTCCAGTTCGGTGAAATGTTCCAAGGTATTGCAAGGACCCTCTTCATCTTTGATTTCATCGCATTGCATCATGATGTCTCGTTCTGGGGAACAATTTATGGGTCGGAATTGATTTTTTACCGAAAATTTTGCACAGCCGGTTGAAGTTTTTTGTTAATGAGTGTAGGTTGAAAGAAAAGTTGTTTGAGACTCACAGAGTGCCTTGATGAGTAACGTTAGCTCTTTTTTGTTGTCAGAGAGAGAGAGAGTTGCCAAGATCAAACAAATACCATGAGCCAAACAAATCAATAAACATACACATTATTTTAAAGATATTTTTCAGTATAATTATGGCATTTGATTTAACCATACGTTATGTTTTTATTTCCATGTAAATCTGCCGGAAAACTATCGGGAATAAAAAAGTTTTAAATTTTGTGTTTTTTATTCTTGTATCTTGGCAACTCTATGGGAATCAATTCAAATCAGCTGTTCTTTTGTTGACTAATGTTTATTCGTGGTCGCCACAGCACAGCTTGGAATTTTGTTGAAAGGAAACGCTAACTACAGAAGCAAAAACCATGACGTTACCCGAGTTCTTTGGCTGTTCCATGATTGCCTTTGGCCCACCGTTTGCACTGTTCGTATTTACAATTGCCAGAAAACCAATACGTGTAATAATGGTCATAATGGCAGCCTTCTTTTGGTTGCTATCACTGCTGGCATCGTCGCTGCTGTGGTATGCGGTTGTACCCTTGAGGGGTGTATTGGCCTTTGGAGCTGTTTTTTCGGTACTCTTTCAAGAGTATTTCCGTTATTTGCTTTATTTACTGCTGAGAAAATTTGAAGAAGGTCTGGAGGCTGTGGCCGATGACAGGACACTGGTGGATAACAAACATGTGTTGGCATATGTTTCCGGTTTTGGATTCGGTATAATATCGGCAATGTTCTCTCTGGTCAATGTTTTGGCTGATTTGGTAAGTGAATAGGACATGTAATGACCAATTTCATATTTATCTGAGTACATTTCCCCCTCACAGACTGGACCCGGAACATTGGGTCTGAACGGTGGTTCCGAAAGCTTCTTTACGGTCTCTGCTGCCCAGGCTTTATCCATATGTTTGCTACATATTTTCTGGAGTGTAATATTCTTTAATGCCTTCGACACAACCAACTACATTCATGTGTCCTATGTTGTTGGTTCGCATTTATTTGTCAGTCTCATTACCCTGTTAAATGCCCAACAATTGTATGCTGCATCCCTAACAATCAACTTCATTGTAACTGTGGTCTCCGGCATTTTGGCATTCAGCGTTGCTGGTGGTACTGTACGGTCATTTAAACGTTTCATCTCCTGCCAATAATCCGCAAAAGACTTAATCACTACTCATCCTATATACCCACATATACATTCTATACTCCAGACTATGTAGTTTTAGTTGATAACAAAAGACAATTGATAATTATATTTGTATTTAATTCCTAGAATATATTTTATTAAATCTCACGTACAAAAGAAAAAAGTGAACAATTCATCTATGGGAAATATTGTGCTTTGCGCACGGTGATGCCATAATCGGCTAAAGCTGGGGCCAAGTCTTCCATGGTCATGGTGTATTTAGTTGGTTTTAGCATTTTAGAGCCACCATTTTGATTATTGGACCGGGTCTTACAATGCTGTAGGGCGTCATTTGCAACATCGGAAATAAATTTTTGTGTTGCCACAGATATTAGACGCACAATACGTGGATCGTTGGTATCAAAGCCGGCCGAATTTAGGTAAAAAGATGTAACTGCATCTGGTATTGTGGGAACATAATCTTCCAGTTGCAGCATAAAATCACTTAGTTGAGAAGTCTGAAATAAATGGACTTTGAGATATGGATTGAAATAGCATAGTTATATATATTTGTACCTCTTGACCTGGAGCCGATGCTGTTGCAGACGGATGATTTGGTCCATTGCTGGCGGATGTAGCATTCGCGGGACGAAATATTCCAAAGTTTGTGCCAATCATCTTCTAAGCCTTTCGTTTGTTTTCTCTGTGGATGTTGTTGCTGCTTTGAGTGTGCTATATTGTTGTTTCTGTAATTCATTTCACCTGTTTTGGAACAGTGTTGCCAGAACTCGTTATTTATAAAACACCAATGTAATGCTAGGAACACAATTGGAGCGAACGACGAATTTTTTCGCGGCGTATGTTCGTCGTCAAAAATAAAACACATATGTGTATATGGAAGTGCACACAATCACGGCACCGGCGAAAATTTCGTCGGTCGCCGCGAACTCAATTAGCTTTATTTCTATTTCATACGCCGGCGACCGGCGAACAAAACAGTACAAGGTGGCCATACTTGTACGAATTTTATGTGTTTTAGTAAATAAAGTTACTTTTTACTTTAAAATTTGTTATGGTCACTCTACTATCTGTTACTCGTATAAAAAAAACATAATTAATTTGTTTATTTATTTGTGTACTTGCGCCTGAGTGAAGATGGATATCAGTGAATTTATAATAGAGAAGATGGACATAAGTGAAATTATAATAGAGAACGTAAAGAATTATGTGTTCTTGTATAATTCATTGTAGTCAACAAATGAGCAAAAAGTAAACAACTTCATCAGCTGTTTTATAATTTCGTCGGTATTGTGTTCCATACGACGAATTTTCGCGGCTCATTTTGTCGCCGCGTAGGGCGAAATTCGTCGTTCGCTCCAATTGTGTTCCTAGCATAAATTGCTAAAAAATATGCCATGTTCAGACTGGCGTCTGAAATCGGCTGGAACTTGCAATTAACAACAAACTTTTAGAAAGCACCAAAAATTAATCATTTATACGTTTTGTTTTGGCAGTTTCAGACTTAGAGTACGTTAAGGCTACTAAATTCACTCGATTTGATATGTAAATTTCATAACGTCTTCGTAAGTTGACGCATACGTTATGGAATTGACATTTTAGATCGATTGGATTTCGTAAATTACGGAATTCCACTAGTTTTTCGATATTTAAAGGTAAAATAGATAAAAATTTTTCTCTAAGTGCTTCTGCCAATTTTGTGTATGTATGTATATTTTTAAAATCAATGAATGGAAGAATGTTTGTCTTCGTCTTGGTATATCAATTACTCATAACTCGTTGCCTACCCATTTTAATATTGCTACTGATTCTGTTTCTCTTATTGATTTTTTTGCCTGCAGTCACCTCTGTTCTCTTATCTCCTCTGATCAAGTCCAATGTCCTTCTATTTCCCACCATTCTTTAATTTTTGGTATCACTAATATAAATTTGACATCAGCAGAACATTTTTTTGAATTTCGGAACTATAATGATATAAATTGGGACGGTCTGCTTGATTATCTCGTCAATGTTGACTTTAGTAGTTTATATAGTACATCTGATATTAATTTACAGCTTTCGTTTCTCCAGTTGCTTATTGCTAATCTTTTTTCATATGTTCCTATCGTTAGAAAGCGTGTTGTACATTCCTTGGATCCGTGGCTGAAATGTAAATCTATAATACTGGCGATCTCTTTGCGTGATATGGCGTACAAAAATTATTTAAAATTTCCTACGCTGCAAAATATGGCGGTGTATCGAACCCTCAGAAACAAAGCTAAGTCTATTCTTAGAAAGGAACGTAAAAAATATTATGAACAAATTTTCAATGGACTAAATGCTACTCATCTCTGGAGACAACTTCATGCCGGTGGTATCGTTGACAATGACGTCAACCTCTCAACTGACTTTGATGTTAATGTTTTGAATGAATATTTTACTCAAGAAAATGGTGTTGGCAATGTTATTGTTGATTTTCCAGATATTGATAGACAATGTCATACATTTTCTTTTAATTGTGTTTTCAAGATAGATGTATTTGAAGCCTTTCAGCAGGTCAAATCGAAGTCTGTAGGTGTTGATGGAGTACCCATTAAATTTTTGAAATTAATCTATCCATATATTTCTAGACATTTCACCTATATTTTTAATACAATGTTTACAACATCGACCTTCCCGAATGACTGGAAAATTGCTAGGGTTTTCCCTATTTCCAAAAATAAAGGAAGGAACACTATTGAGAATTTGAGACCTATAAGTATACTACCGTCGCTTTCTAAAGTTGCCGAACATCTCATAAGGCTGCAGATTCAATCATTTATAGATGACAATAAATTTTTGATTAATTATCAATATGGATTTAGGCGTGGTCTCAGCACTACTTCACTTTTAGTAGACTTAACTGACTTGATTAGAGAGACAATTGATGGACGTGATAGTGGTGTTCTTGTTGCGCTGGATATTTCGAAAGCATTCGATTGTGTGGATCATTCAATGCTGATTGAGAAACTGTTCTCATTATATGCATTTGACAGTAATTCTTGTAAATTAATTGCTTCATATTTATCTGGACGTTCTCAATATGTTTCATATAATGGCGAGGCATCCAGCTTACGTAATATTTACAGCGGGGTACCTCAAGGTTCAATTTTAGGTCCGCTTCTTTTTGTTTTATATGTCAATGACATTAGTAGCATTCTAACTAATTGCGACTGTCATCCGTTTATGTATGCGGACGACATTCATTTATTTTTTAAAGGTCAATCAGACTTTCAACTAGAGAATACCATAAATACAACATTAGGTAATATTTCACGTTGGTTGAGAAATAATAATCTAGTAGTAAATGTTTCTAAGACAAAAGCAATGACATTTGGTTCACCTTGCCGACTGAATAGCGGTATTAATATACAGGTTAATGGTGTAGCGGTGGATTTTGTTGACCGCATAAATTGTTTAGGTGTTGTTCTTGATGCCAAGCTTGATTTTTCTTTGCATATTGATGCACTGTACCCCAAAGTTATAAATATGCTCCGAAAATTACACTCAACTGATTTCTATTTGCCCTTATTTGTAAAGAGAAATCTTGCTCATTCTATGTTATTTTCGGTAATTTCCTACTGTATTGAAGTGATTTCTGGTACAACACATGAGTATTTAATGAAATTAGAAAAACTTTTTAACATCATTGTAAGATATGTTTATAATTTGCGTCGTTTTGACCATATTTCTGCGCATGCAGTCCTCTTTTTAGGAGTGTCATTCTCTACTTTTGTTAAACAACGCGTGGTTTCATTTCTATATAAATGTATCTGTTTAAATCTTCCTGGTTTTCAGCGAGATCGGCTAGTGTTCTCTCGGTCTACTAGGAATACGCAAATAATTTTCCCTCATTTTTCTACGTC